TAGATAGTTAATTCTGTATCACTTTGTCCATTAAGCGTGATATCACTGGGGTGTTATTTATAGGTCGGTATTTTTTGACCGGGTTTTTCGGTCCTGATTTGTGTTTGGGAAGAACATACGTTATCTTCCAGGTTTCGGGATATGTATCTACCCCTAAATATAATGAGAATACTTTGGGTAATAGCGTCTGTATGTCAAGTCCTGATATTTTATAAGGAACTGATGGGATTTCATAGGCACCAGAACTCGCATTCGGCCTTATGGTTTTGATGGTAATGTGTCTACTACTAAGATCAAAGTTAATGGTACTAAGATAATTTTTGCTGATGCATTTGATGTTAATATCTGGGACATGGGATGTTCTCCTATTGTGGGGAAACCACTCACCTAAAAATCCACATATGACGGTTTGATCATAATACGTCACGCTATCGTGCAGTATGGAATAAATATTGTGTTCTGCATTCTTTCTTATGCGTTTTCTAAGGAGATGACATAATTTCGGGCTTTAGATGAAGTAGTGAGCGCGGTACGTCGACCCCGAATCAGCTTTGATAAAAAGAGTCAAATGGTTAATGCCTGTGATGTCAAAGTCAGTCCCGTTCATACACCAAAAGAGAGGTTAGATGATTTATATGGTTACGTATTTTCAAACATGTTTCTTCGAAGATAAATAAAGTTTTATACACTTGGATAACAGCATTTTCCTGACGCATATTCTCAAGTTATGACCATCCAAAACTCAAGCTGTAACTATGCAGTTTGGTCAAAGTCGACTAAATTAAGACTAAATCTAGTGATGTATGTTAGTGACAGTAAAATATGATTGGTCGCTGAATGTGAACAAACAGTCATTTAGCCTACTGACTTAAATATATGACTTCTTCACATTTCATTGATTTCTACTCAGAACTCACTGAGTGTAAGTGCTTGTAACTGTGTTGAATAATGTGTAATCTAGCGCTATTCTGGTTTGAGGTTCCTGGATCTGATATAACGTGACTGGTCTCATCATCGTGTAACGTATTGTCAAAGTACACCTGAGCGAGAAAAAATATATTTAACCATCCGTTATATTACTTAGGTAGTATTAAGAAAACCTGGTAGTCTCATTGCCAAATCAAATGAACACACCCTTATTTACGATAAATTGATCACTTTTAGTGTTATCCCGAGTGCAGACTGGACTGAATCAGAACACACATAGTGACTCCACAAAAGACGACTGTAAGATAATATCAGATTTCTCACGGAACGCCAAAATTCGCTCGGAACTAATGAATAAAGACAGATAAAGCAGCTATGAACACCGTGCTACTTACCGTACATTACTAAGACTTTCCCACGAGCTTGAGTGATTACAGGTCAATACAACTAATTGGTGTTTGTCGAGATTGTCCGCTTTGCCTGCTCAACTATGACTTTTGACTTAAGCTGAACATTCCCGTAATACCGTACTCACCACTATATCAGAGTTCGTATTAAGGCTGGAAAACAGAGCTGAAGCGAGAAACTGGTTATCATGTTGTTAGGTCAAGTCAGTTTCAGAATCTAATGGGCACGAACTGTATGATCCAGGTTTTTGGGCTTCATATAGGAAGTTAAGATTAATTTTTTGTTGATTAGATATTGTACAGGCGTAGCGTTGTTTACTTTTATCACCATTCTGAATATAACTTAATTCGCTTTGATGAGGCAGCGTCTTCCCATATATGTTGCAAGTTTTATTCTTGAGGATGTTATGTGTACGTCTTATGTAGTGATGCGAAATGCTTTTGAAATGATATTACAATAGGCTTATGGAATAAGTGATGCTAATCACAACCACTTTATCTCCGCACGTTAATCTAGCTAATTTGGTTATTTATTCTCTGAAGAAGTGGCTTGCACTAAGCCACGAAACGTCAGAAAATCCAACTTTTTTACTCATTGGGATATTACAAATATATTATCTATTTATCTCGGCATGTTAGTTGATATGCTGTTTGATACTGCAGTGTACAGATGTGTATGTAGTTCAGTCGCTTTGGTAAGATTTTGTACGGCCACTGCCGACCTTATAGGAAGGCATCAAGACAGGTTCTGAGTCACCTATATGGATTTTATTTGTTTGGACGGTTCTAGTGCTCAACAGTAGTACAAGAATGAGTTAGTTTTTTCACTGTATTCTTAGTGGAATCTAAAAAAACAGGTCCCACATCTCATGAAAGCGCATTCACAGTTATTCCGCAGAATTTTTACAAGGTTAACAAAGTTGGTTTTCCTCTTATCTACGTTATCTCAGCAGTTAAAACAGGCTTCTATCAACTTAGCTGGTGAGAACATGTCACCAAACGCGTTAAATTGAGCAGTGCTTCTTTGAACATGTCTTCGCACAAAAACCGGGATCAATAAATATCAATAAGTCCTAGGTCTTAAGTTTCATAGTAAGAGGGCTTCAACCAAAGCATTACTACTGTTAATAAGTTGATTGTTAGTTAGCTTATCAGCAAAGTTTCCGCTAAACAGATTTCCCCAAGCAGCGCGTTGAATAAGCTCAGAAGTTTATCCAGTCACTCCTAAAACGATTCTCCATAGCATGTTTGATGTCTGTATGTTTTGGCTTTTGTGTCACGACTGTAAGTGAAAATAAGACACTTCTCCTGGCCCAGATATGGTACATTCTGCAATACTGAGGGGAGTAGCCTCAATCCTGGCAACACCACTTACCGTTATGATCTCACACTCGCTAATCCAAGGCAAACTATCGGAAAATTGGAAGCTGGCTCACATCACACCAATTTTCAAAGGAGGTCAACGCAGCGAACCTTCAAGTTACCGACCGGTGACTCTTCTCTTTGTACATTCAAAAATCATGGAGTCCCTGATATACGATGGTATACATGACTATTTACTGTCCTTAAATTTCCTCTCATCCCAACAGCGTGGTTTCAGGAAGAGTTACTCTTGTATGGCCAACCTGATGACTGCTGTGGACAGATGGACAACCATCCTTAATCGCAAGAGGAAGGTTGATATCATTTATCTTGATTTCTTAAGAGCTATTAGTAGGGTTGACCATATATGTCTAATCAATAAGCTCAAACGATTAGGTATCAGACCACCTCTAATTGATTGGCTCATTAATTATCTGGAAAATCGACATTTTAAGATAAGGCTTAATTTTACTTTCCCTCAGGTTATGAGATGTCCTAGTGGGGCCCCACAGGGTTCAGTACTGAGACCTCTACTCCTCTTGGTTTATATAAACGATCTTCCACAACAGGTATCGTCTGCCTTCTTACTTCTTGCTGATGATGTGAAACTTTGGGGAGAGATACTCAACGAATAGGACATACTGGCACTTCAGGAGGATCTGACTCGACTTTAAAGTTGGGCAGACGACAACGGACTTACCTTTAACACTTCAAAGTGTAAAGTAGTCCATTTGAGACATGTTGCGAACTACAGTTAGGACTTAGGAAACTCCTCTCTAGTAGTATCCCGAGTCGAAGAAGATTTAGGAGTGCTGGTGCCCTACGATTTGAAGTCTTACACCAACTGTGGTAAAAATGTCTTTCGAGCAAACTTTGCACTAGTAACATTGAAGCGCATTTTTGGTCAGTTTGACAAAAGAACCTTCCACGTAATCTTCATTAGTTTCATTCGTTCACATTTAGAGTACGGGAACATAGTATGTCCTCCCTCACTCCAAAAGGATAAGGACACTCTGGAGCGCATCCAATAGCGAGCCACGAAATCAGTTTGGGGACTCAAATTCAAACCTTATGAAGAGCTCCTCCAATCACTTAACCTTTGCTTATTAGAGTATAGGCGTCTTAGAGGTGACCTTCTGATGGCTTACAGTATCCTTAATACTTCTGGACATCCCCTTAAACACCTACTTAAGCTTAGTCCTGCAGATCACCAACGTGGGTGATCTGTGTCGAAATGATTGGAGGCCTCCTCGGGTTAGACGTGAATGGTGTGTTAAACTAGCTAACGTCAAGTCGCATATCGTGGTCAGCACCTTATATGGACTACCCCATTGACGTAGCAAGGTGCCATGAGTGCTTTGAATGCTGTACAACACAATGGACGTTATTACAGAAATATAATAATTAACATAGATACAAGCGAACGTATGACCACCGCCGCATGTGCCAACCCACGGCGTACGAATAACTGATGCGCTTTGGTCGTCCTTGACCTTGACGAGGACCGATGATTTGTTCGGTATTCAACGACCCAACTGCCGGATGATTTGGCTAGGGCTCAGTGAAATTTCACTAGCCCTACAGTCCCAATACAAACATAAGGGGTAATACCTAGAAACTGGAGACACAACATGGCAGAACGAACTGTAGACACAACTTCTACCTTTTTAGAGAAGTCAAGTGCTGGAATTCGCTGCCAGCTGAGCTTGTGCAATAAACTTCGTGGTAGTGCTTTAGGAGAAGACTTGACAGACTCTTAAGGCCTAATGAGTGTATCTTACTATGACTTGCCAATTTCTCTTTCCTCTTTTGTCGTTAATTTACTCAGGTTCCTACCTAGAGGTATTGGCAACCCACTGCTACTATACACAGAAGCCCGTTAAGCGAAGGCTTCTTCTGTTTTGTCCACATCCCTCTGAACCATTTAACTTCTTTATTGACTACAACCAAAGACCTAGTTAAATGGTATTGATGTGAAAATGCGAATAATTTCATGCAAAAGCTTGATTACCTTTTTGTTGAGTCATTATTACTAGAGTCCTATCCACTGGTCGATAAACGTTCGTGTGCTTGATTTGGTTCTCCCCTAATTTGGGCAACACATGAGCAACAGCATAACAAAAACACCAATATATGCCACAGAGATGATTAAATGAGAGAACAAATCTGTCATCTTCCTGTCAGTTGGACCATGGCAGTTTAATATTTTGAACAATATTACTGGTCACATAAAACAAACAGTAATTGTTTAACAAATCCAAGATAAAAGCTATGCAAGTTTGTTACAACGATATTGAGGGTTGCATTGGGCGTCTGTAGATTTGTGGGCCGTTTGATTGAAGGTCATTTCTAATCTTTGATTCAGTGTATGATGGTAAAATGATGTAGCGGGATGAGACTGCGTATGATACCCGTGATATTCAAAGAAGGTATCGTAGCCTCTCTTACTGGCGGATTCTATTTTGATTCTTCCCAAACTCATTTCGCAAATGTCATTCATGTCTATGTTTGGATCATCCTATTTGTTATACCTCTGGTTCTGTATATGGTTAGACTATATAATTCTTATTTTTCTTAGATTTCAGTAAATTCCCACATCACCGCATTGCTTTATGGGTTTTCTATCGGGTCCTTCGTCCTTATAGTTAAGCTAGTAATTTGGAGACTTCATGATCTTCTGGATAAAAGTGACCCTGTTGATAATAGTCAGAAAACTAGTAAAGAAAACCTAAAGAAACAGTAAGCTCTTTGTTTTCTTATATTACTCGAAGGCCATCAACTGGGCATCAGACAGGTGTTCATGAAGATGATCAGGAACATTTTCATGATATTAATGACATTGAAAACAAGTGCCGAAGAATTGGGATAGCCGGGATTGAATTAGCTGGTAATACTTGTTTTTTTTAAATTATTATAAATAAACATTAGTCTCTGTGATATTTACTTCCAGTGAATTGCTTTCGGATGTTATGTGACATTAGAATCACCATTGTCGAGATGACAGATATACTGATAGATTCTAGCACGTGTGTTCTATAGGATTGTGTTTGGAATTTTTATGGAATCAGTAGCTAACAGGTATGACCTATGTAGGTTGCGCGAACGCTTGCGTTTCCCCGGAAATGGTTTCTTGGTTGATAGCTATAGTTGATTACTGCCTCCAAATGAACTGTTGTCTACATTTGGTGGTTTATTTGTATAGACGACTTAACGCGAAAATCATCTCACTACTTGGGTGTACTTTATCGTTTCCGCGTTGGAAAATTTTTTTAGGGAAAGTAGCAAATGAAATGAAAACTTGAATAATATGAATTCGTGAGTGGTAGTATTTATTTGACTACACGTACTTTGAGCTAGTCACACATATGTATCATAAACGATAAAAAGTGCTCGATTTCGTGGTAAACGTTTTCCATCCTTTCTTGTCTTACAAAGGGAAGATAATATTCATTGAAATAGTAAACGTATGGGAGAACTATTCTACTATATCTACAATTTTGGGATTCATCTTGATAATTTCACCTCACTGTACTTATGTGGTGGGAAAAGTTGTAGCAATAGACATATATGTCAGTCTTTACATTGCTCATAACCCACACTGACATCTCGTTCTAGTCTAGCCACTGTTTTATTTTTTGATAAACTCACCAAAGTAACTCAAAAGTATAAGATGCATAAGATTTGTGGCCAGGATAACTGTGAAATGAGATATGGTTTGATAATTTTCAGTTGCGTAGATCACATGTGGTTAGTTTCTATTTTCATTTGTAGTAGCCGCGTGAATGTTCGAGAGACATCACGATCTATTCATCCTAAGATATTAAACTTAATGCAAACGTTACCATGATTACCACGGTTCCAAATAAGAAATAAATGTTATGAGAGAGTAGAGTAGATAAAAATGTAGCGTAGTAGTCACTAAAAAGCACCTATACTGTATTTCTGAGACTCATCAAATTATTCCGCTAGAAACAGTATTTTAGATAATATTATCTGTCCACAAATATGCCTTCATATTGTGCCAGTCATGTTTATCTTCCTAATCTATACCTAAACAAAGGCTCAGTAATAAATCCAGTGGTATCTACTGTCATTATTTGTCATTTCTTAACCAAACGCTTCAGTCAATATAATTGTGCAGTCATTTGAGTTAAAGTTTCAACCATGAATTCAAATTAGCAGTTGAAATCTTGCAGGAATATCTGTATTTTGTTGAAATGGATTTTCCATCATTCAACACCTCTCTCTTGTGTTAAGTTTCACCTAATGAGTGGAATATTGAGCTTAATTGCTACTAGGAATAGGGTAACTTTCACTCAGTTCATTTACGTATAATTTAGAATTAAGACTTCATTTTTGTTGTATTGAGTATATAGTGTGATCTGCGTGTTTGTCAGTCGTCCTTGTGAAACTTACTAAATAGCTTTTCGCCTGACATTCAAAGTTGTTTGTTAGTTATAAGCAATAGTAGTGAATAACAGGTTGAGTGTAGTAATCGGTTGTTTACAATCTATCATATTAAAATACCAAAATCATAAATTATGTTCAAGATACTTTTGTGAAAGTAAAGTTGGTCTTCCTTAAAGTAAACACCGGTGTAGCGTAGTAAAGATTATTAAATTCCAATTAAAATAAGGTGGATTGGATACGATGCTACAATGTCAGATACAGATTTTGGAAATATATTAGGAAGAAAGAACTTAATCGTTTTTCCATAAAAGCAACCTTTAAGTCGCCTACATATACAACATGTCTCACATGATGTTACTTTGATAGTGTATAAAACGAAAAAAGCAACCTATGTGCATTACTCTACTATTTTCTGTCTGGGAAAGTACGATCTTGATTAGTTCTAACACATAGTTTCTATCGTCTAGAAGTTAAGTCAGATGTGATAGATTTATATGTGAAAATTATATTTGAATAATCTCAGCGATTGAAATCTAAATAATTTCGACGTTTCGTCCAGCTAACTTGTCTAGACTTCTTCACGCTAACAATCAAAATCATCAAGAAAATATATAGCCTTTTAGCAATCAAAACTACACTGTGTTAAACCAACCATATTTGGATGTTGATTTTTGTAAACTAGGATAACATGAGTCAGTTAAATGCGAATCATGTGAAAAATTTCAACTACATGTAAATAATTAACTGAATGAGTTTTTTATCCGAAGGGGTTTTGTGGAGATTTTTAGGAATTTCAATAGTTAAAATCATGAGTTAATTGAAGCTAGACCACCATGAAAAACCTGGAATCACTGGACGTCGTTTCGTCCTAGTATGGGACTCCTCAGCAGTACGCACCCACGATCCCGCACCCCCCCCGCGAGATTCGAACCCAGGATCTGTCAGTCTCGCGCGCGAGGGCTTAACCATTAGACCACTGAGCCAGCATCCAACGGTGTTAATGTCTAACTTCAACCAATCCACGAAATTGCGCCACCGTACACCTTTGTCTTCAATGAGTTGATATCTCACAACAGACATGGTTGAACTCCACTGGTAACGGCTTCTCACTAGAACTCCAGGAAATCCCTCATGAGGTCAGTCACTAGTGAGCAGATGATTATTATCAGGAGGGGTTATGTGGAGACTTTTTTAGAAATTTTAGTAGTTGAAAGTCGAAGTTAGACATTAACGCCGTTGGATGCCGGCTCAGTGGTCTAATGGTTAAGCTCTCGCGTGCGAGACTGATAGGTCCTGGGTTTGAATGAGTTTATAGCAATACAATTATGTATTTGATGATTCTTCAGTTTGATATGCACATCGATGATTCAGAACAATTTTTAAACCTTGAACTTTTATTTATTTATTCCTTCATATATAACATATTAACACCGTATATCAATAATTAATCGTACACATACATACATATCTACACAATCACACACACAGTTTTGTTATTCAGTTAATTATTTACATGTAGTTGAAATTTTTCACATGATTCGCATTTAACTGACTCATGTTATCCTAGTTTACAAAAATCAACATCCAAATATGGTTGGTTTAACACAGTGTAGTTTTGATTGCTAAAAAGCTATATATTTTCTTGATGATTTTGATTGTTAGCGTGAAGAAGTCTAGACAAGTTAGCTGGACGAAACGTTGAAATTATTTAGATTTCAATCGCTGAGATTATTCAAATATAATTTTCACATATAATGATTTCTCTATACTCGGCGCCCAATTTCTGTCAAACTATTCGTTTTAATCTTGACGAATATTTGTATAAAGACATGATAAATTATTTTCGAGATTAAATAATTATTTGAAAAGTGCCAAGAGTTTTGTTACTGTTCGAAAACAAAACAGCTGCTGAACGTTTTTTAATTTCCTAGTGATGAAGCATCTTACAAGTGGCCATATATTTATTTGTTCTAGTGTGATTGTGATGCGCAGGTACTCAGTAACGACATTTTACCGGATAAGCTCTCTCCGAGCTCCAGTTTTTTCTAGGTACGTATTGTCAAGTCTGAGTTTATGTCAATCAAAAGTATGAATACATCTGACAGTAAACTTTTTAAAATGCGAAACACTACTGTGAAATTCTATTTCTAAGCCAACTACTTAATTACGTTTAACTTTTCTTGTCTAACCTTACAGATTTAAGAGACTCTACTTTGAACCATGCTTGTCGTTTTACTGATAGTGAAATGAATGTTGGCAGTCCCATTCAAAATACACATATATTGAATGACAAGGGGATTTGTAAATATAAATCTTTGAAAAACAATTTAGAACCAGATCTTGCATTTTCTGAGAGTTTCACCAATTCTATCACGTTTCCCGTTTCTTCCTTTCAACTTGGACCTTCCACCTCACGATTAAACTACGTTACAATCGAACAGTCGCCTAATTGTTCAAATCGCGATTCTATGGTTCCTGGTCTAAGTGTAGTTGAAGAGAAACAATCAACGGAAAATAACAAGCTAAATTCGTCAAACTCTAACTGTGCCTTATTTTCTAATAATAGCAACCAAATTTATAAGAGTGAGACAATTACTTCAGGACCACTGAAATCCACAATATCATCAACGTCAGCAGAGACAAAAAACACTGATTTTACCCATAATTTAAATGCAAGAACAGTTAAACCTATTTATGTAAATACCCCGTTAAAATCATTTAGTGGGAGGAGTTGTCAGAGGGCTCCTGTTAGAAGGCAGTTTTCTGAAACAGCAGGTATGGATTTTAGCACAAACTTATTCATGCCCACATTTTCATGGAATTTACTTGATGGAAACCTTAAAAACTCTCAATATTTTTAAATTTCTAGATATTATTAGTATTCAGTTTTACTATTTTCCCCTTTATCTTTAAGCAGTAACACATTTTGTGACATATAGATGGCCCTTTTTCAGTCCAATAAAATAGGCATCTGAAGTTCACTTGTATGTGGCAGAAATTTGCCTTCAGTGAGTCCTCAGAGCTTTGTGTTGGGCCCCACTGAACCGTAATAATATTTGTCTAGATCAATTAAATCTGTAAATATGCGAGCACTGTAGTCGATATTAAAAACTACGAAAAATTGTTTTGTGTTCTTCACTAGGGGATCGCTCATTACTTTATAGCACTTTAATATCTCTTTGTGCTCTGATTGCAGTCTGAAATGTACGTTCTTCATCGGTGACATCTTAATCTGAGAGTTATTAAGTGTTTGTATGTATCCATACATACATATATAGCAACCTGAAGCAATAGTTTAAATTGAAATCTATGACGTTTGAGGTAAATTGTCCTCACTGTGTCATATACTACTTAAGATGCAGATTATTATTGTCTATTCGTCTTTATTCGGCCTAATGTTTATGATCAGATATTAAATATTCGAGTAAATGCTACTAATGAGTTTTAGATTTAAATAAACCAGTGTTTCTTATCGATTGTCCTACTGACACAACTTTTTGAGGACATTATCAATCTACGCACAATTACAATGCTGCGCAAGCCTATAACTTATTAAATGGTGTGGTCTAATGGATAAATTTTAGGTCTAAATAAAGTCCTATAAATAAAATTCCAAACTCCCTTGTTTTTTATTGCTTTCAGTAGTTTATTTAATGCAATAAAATTCCAATCAATTTTAAGTACATATAAATTGAACCTTGATGAATGCGACAAACAAAATATCCACTCATGTTTCATTGAACTAGAAGTTTAATTACATTAAGGTGTCTACAAATGTGTCACAATAGCCAGCTATAATTTTCAAAGCAATGTAAAATCCCTTGTTATGACAAACGGAATAATAATAAAGGTTACGGTCCAAATAAGGACACAATTAAAGCACAAGTTATTTCTCTCAGTTCATCGTGCTGTTAATGTGAAATAGCGAATAAAACGGCAACAGAATTACTACTTATTTCTTAATCATTTGAGTTATTTGATGTTGAGACATCCATTTAGACATTCTTGGTGAACGATCAGATGCTATTATGGCACAGTTGTCCTGGATTCGATGGAATCATAACCACAATTATCTGTCTTTCGACTCCCTCTAAACTCAGCAATTTTATAAGCGTAAAACAGGACGTGTTCTTAGTGATCTAATAGTTATCTTATTGCAATCAGATGCCACAATTTATAAGGAAGCTGCTATGTTGTCCAAATGTTCTAATAAACGCGAATATTTTCCTTTGATGATTCTTTGTTACTTGCATAAAGCATTTTAGTGACGTTAGGAGATGCAGTACTATGATATCTATGGTCAAAATAGTTTTATATATCATTTGTTCCATCGTGTGGTGAGAAATAGAGGTTTTACAGCTATCATCATATAAAATGTGATCGGTGGACGAACCTACCAATGATATTTTCCTTAAAACAGTTTGCCTTATTCCTTAATCAACTAAATTGAATTCTATTAGAACGCATATTATCAATCTTCAATCATGGATGGTTTTTAACTATTGGTAAGGCTAGTTGAATTCCATAGTTTATTTCTTTGTTGGATATGTGTTGAATAAATTCCTTTTTCCCTTTCTGGCGCGCAGGTGCATTCAATCTTTGTCTAGGTTTCTGAATTCATAATTTTTTATTTCAGTAATTTATATTTTCGATGCCTAATTTTCTCTGTCACCACCACTACTGTTACTCCTATTATCCTGAGGTTTGCTGTGACAATTTCATTTCCCTGTGTTAATGGGATATGGCAACTTAAACCGATGTACACACGTACCGTGGTTCTTCATTGCGTTTTGCTGATTGACTGATGTGTCACATGCAAATTTATTAACCCTCAATCTTATAGAATTGATCTTACAGTTCTTCCTTTCAAATTGGTCAGTCCTTGCATCGTCTAAAGACTTGTAGTGACGACCACCTGTATCAATTGTAACATTTGTCTGTTCAACCCTTACTGATATGTTATAAATGCGAACACTATTTATGGCGAAGTTTTCCATTCCTCTGAAGTACTTCATATCCTTTAATAAGTGAACGTAAGTCAATTCGTAATATCCAAAAGAAATAAATTCATTTAGATCTTTTTGTCAGCTTAAAATGTTACACAAGCTTCATTGTTCTTTCTTCTATTTATCCTTGAGATATTTTTGTGAAACCTTTTAAATTATCGATAATCATAATTCATATTTTATTACCACTACTGTTAATTTTCCTTGTCAGTCACTTGTATATCGTTGTATTATTAATGAAATAAACAAATGAGAGCTGCTACTATGCTGAAATCTTAATAACTAGAATTCAGTTCGAACTAGTTATTATGCATATAGAAAGAGGAGTACCTGAACCAATAGAGAATAAGTTCATATACATTAAAAGAAGAATGCTTATTTCGTACCTAAATACTGCATGAATTAACAAAGCTACATTCATAACATCTTTAGTAAAATGTGTCAAATGAACTTTTCACTTTTTCGTAATTTCAGTCTTTTTTCATTTTGATTTTAATTATGGATTTGTTATTGAAATAAGTCTTATGGTCCTTAATTTACTGTTTCTCTTCAAAGTAAAAAATGCATTTGAAGTCCAAAGGTTGGTTACGTTTTATGATCAGACTGATCGAATCCCTGGTTTACAGTTTGATCACTTTGTTCCTGAGATTACCAGTCCGATTACAGGAGAGCTATCAGTGGAAAAATCTTCGCGTCCCATTACTTCTATATCTGGTCGCTTTCTTGTGAGATCTAGTTCAGTACGCACGGAAATCGAACAGTGTAAGCGTATTCTGAATCAATTGAAATGGGACGTGAGTCAACTTCCTCCCATACCTGTCACCCGATTCACTCCCTCAATGAAGGATCTAGATACCTTAGATTTGAATCCCAAGGTTCTTCAATCAGCACCTTTATCTTTTGTAAGAAGTAGATCACAGGTTAGTATGTGCAAATTTGTCCCAAATCTTAAAAAAATTAACCATATTTTGGTGGGAAGTACATGTGATACATAAGTGTTCATAGACTTGTAAGCATTGTTACCTTGTGTAATAAAGTAGGATTTTCAATTTATATTGTTAACACAATGAGTACTTATAGTTTCAGGAAATATTTTAGTACAGTGTGTTAACAGATATAATAATAATGATAATGATTTTATTCAGTCTTGCATGTTTAGTACGATATGGATTTCTCAGCTTGTTGTATTTAATCACATTCCTGTTTTTCTTATGTCAAAAATTATATATTGAAATAAATAAGTAAAATTATGTAAAATCGAATGAAATTTTCATTATAAAATAATAATCTATACAACGTTGAGTGAGCAATATGTTCATGAGCATAAACCTTTTTCATTAGATCAGCCCTTACAAGCTGTTCGCTGCGTAGCGTATGTGATAAATACAGTATTCTAAAGAGTATTTTTTACTTCTGTTTACGTGCACAGATTCTAATGTACTTACACTTCGTTCTGCCAGAAGATAAAGTAGCACTTACGAGTTGCTTGCAAAGTTTTAAACACCTATTCGCAATCATATTTATAATGAAATGAAAAATTCACGTCATACTTTACTAATTACCTTCAGGATTCTTTGCAACAACGAAGTCTTTTCCTAAGAGAATAATGGGGAACAGTATAGGATAGTAAGCAGTGTACAAGAATTTGTAAATTGTGAGCGTTTCGAATAATGCTGTAGACATTCTGCCTCTGGATATATATATATATATATATATATATATATATATATATATATATCAGCAGGTTTTTGCTTACATAGATTAACGCTTGTTCATTGTTCTGGATTAATAATGAATAATACGAAAACACATATACAGATTGCTGTAAGTGTTCTTATCCTATCTAATTTCAGCTCCGAAGACGTGCTTTGTTCGTAGATAGGGATCAGAATAAGAGAACTATTACGTATTTAACTGCATCCGACCGAAACAGCATTCCATATTCCACTGAACTTTCACTATCCGAGACAATTTTATTCTGGCGTCAGTGCTTTGGAAACATTAACTTTGACAGGTCTGCGAGACGTCGACATCAACAAGCTGACATGATTGCGTTCAATGAAATTCCCTTGTCCAATATGAATCTTCGTCCTCGCAGACTTCCTAGAGGATGGCGTTCTCACAGTCTACATTATGATCCTGCAGTGAGTCTTTGCATTTATAATGTAATTATCGTAGTTAGAGTGAGACTACTTGAATGTTGTTTTATATAATATAGAGTCTACTAAATTGTTTACTACACTTGTGTATACCTAAATCTTTGAACTACTTACCTAGTTTTGTTTCGAATTTTTCTTAAAATTTACAAAAATTACAGAAAATTTAGTATCTTAAATGTGAGTTTCAGTGTGATGAAGTGTTCGACCTATGTAGTGACAAATCGTATAGAAATTCTTTCACTTAGGATTTGAAATGTTCTCATGATTACTTCTTCTGAAGCATCTGTTGTCAATGATTATCATCACTTTCATAAGATGAAACGTTTTGTTGTTACCAATGAGTCATAAATTTTATTATATGCACCCAGTTATAGCTTATATTTCAGAGTTTAAATGAATGCTCAGAGACTTTAGATATTGAACATTCGATAGTGAGGAACTTATGAAAAGTAACTAGTTCCAATAGTTCATTCTTGTTTATTAGATACGTATTGTTTTTAATCGTGTTCACAAATAATTTTGGAACTAGCGTTTTTTTTAAATCGGTGTTTTTAAGCTGTCGAGTGTTGATGTTGTTAATTTCTGAAAAGTCTTTGATTTTTCATCTGAGTTTGTTTCGTGCTTCTTTGTAAATTATTAGTTGAAATTTTATTCTTTTTTTGCATAACCAATAGATTCAAAGTTGTTTGTTTTTGAATCTTTATTTTAGGCAATGAAATCATTCACACTTTACCCTCGACAAGTCGTTCGACGTCCTGGTACAACTGTCTGTTTACAACGTCAACAGTCAGCTGGGTCGACTTCATCAGCTGTAGTCAATAGTTCTTCACTGCAATATGGTACTCCAGTAAAGAAAACTATTCAATTTTCTGTGAGTGATTCACATGATTCTACTGAATCTGACACTGTTGAAGCAATTACTTTAGATAGTCAACAGGTACAAAATGATCGTGACAACATACCTGTTGATGCAGAGCATTTAACTTCAAAATGGCCTACCAGTTCTTCGAATGTTCTTGATGAAGTTCAACCTAGTACACAGAGTCATGGTAAGTTTCACGCGTCTATCAATAAATTACAATATATTTTAATAAAAGATTAAGTAGTCTTGTATCTAATATCTTCCAGCACTAATAGTACATACTGTGTCCGTTAAAATAGCATAACAGTTAAATATTCAGACTGTATGTCACTGTCGCAATTAACATAATTAACAAGCACCTGTGGATTTCCCGTTCAGGCAATGAAACATATCTAGGTTTCACTTAACAATACTATTTATTTAAGCAACAGATTTCGCCAGATGTCTGCTAATGTTATCGGATTTTAATTGGGGTTTTTGCGGTTGACCAAAAGGGTATGTGAGTCTGCTCATTAGATATGTCTTATCCTCTGTATTTATGTGAGAGGTTGGTTTAAATCAGCCAAAAAGCATCGTTTTACTTACTTTTGGGGATAATAACTAGTGTTTAAAGTGTTCTATTCTCAGTTTGTTTAAAATATCTGACTTCAGCATATTTATGTAATTGAATTTCATCTGAAAAAAAGCTACAATTAGTTGATGTCATACGCTTGTATTGTTTTAGTATCTTAAAGAATTACTGGAGTTTTTAGTGCTCACCTTACTATTATGAAAGAATAAAGATTAACTTTATGTTTTTTGCTGTTTGTCTTCAATTGTTTGACATACAACTGAGTGATTTTAGGATAGTTCGTATCTATCTACATAGTCATAGTAAATTCGAAAGTTTAAATCTTATAAAACACTTTGGATATAGCTTTTCATTTAGGGGACAACGGAAAAAGAAGTTCTTACCGACTTTAAAGTATTAAAACACTGTTAAACCGCAAATCGTTTCTTTTTGAATTAAAAATAGAAACTAACTTAGCTTCATCACGACCCTTTTGTTTTGTTACCGTTTTTGAATTCACTAATAGGATTAATTCTGATAACAATGGTTTGTGGTTTGGTAATAATATGAATCGACTCAATTTAGGAATGTAAACCACAGAATCTGACCTCAGTAGTCTAAAGGTCAAGATATTTCTGTAAAGCCTCAAGGTCTTCAGTGTTATCATTAGGAGGGCTGTGGATCTCCTTTGATAAAGAGTTTCATGCAAAAACGAAAAGAAGTTGTCTTGTGATTCTTGGATTTCAGTGGTTGTCTTGGTAAGACCAGTCTGTAATGCAAACTATGTTGTTATCCATTCCATATCGTGTGATTTTAGCTGTACTCATTATTGACTTTTGTCCATTTTTCTCATCTATACCACTGTCTGTTTTAGTTTCATCCAATTTGTGTTAATCAAACAAGTTAGTTTTCGATTACTCGTATTTTTACGCTGACTTAGAAGGGTACTTGACATTTTTTGTGACGATTAGATTTTGTAATCCCGTGGAATATCTAGACACTGTCATGGTTTCTCGATTTTCTTGATGTGGATACTCACCAGTTTAGAGTGAGCATCAAATAATTTAAATAACTAACTTGAAATAATTCTATAGTAGTTAATATGTAAGCAATCGAATAATTATTCAACTTAGCATTCCAATTTTTTTATTATTTATTTATCTGTTTTTAGATTTAAACGAAAAAGTAGATGAATATGTAGAAAAAAAAGTGAAGGATATAGAGATTACCTCGTTATGCAACTATTTGTCTAATGATGGTTTTACTGTCGATTTGCAAACACCAACAACTCATCCTCTGGATAAATCAAGTTTAAATAAGATTGCTAATGATCATTACAGTGTTGAGTCTAACAAATCGCTTCTTACAAAGACTAGGTAATTGCTCAATGTGGAAATCAAAATTTAAATTGTTTATATATATATATATATAGCTTAATTGATGTACATGATTTTCATTTCTCATAGTCGAATTCTAGAAGCTACGTAGCTTTTAATTTTTACGCTTCACGATGTCACAATCAAAGAAAATCAATGAATAAAACTGGTTTGATTCGAAAGGAGATTGAATGCATCCGAATCATTGTGATTACTTCTTAGCTATATCTTTCATGCTCTTTAATTTCTGATTTCTGTTATCCAAGGGAACTTAGTTTTGAGGTATACAACTCTTCACATAATTCAAATCAAGTCAATAATTTAATTAATTTATACCATATCTTAATCTATTCAATCTTATTTCATGAAATATACTATCATATGCTAGGGTAAAGGTTAACTTCTAATACAGAAAACCCTGTCTACCTATCTCAATCGGTGTAGATGAATAATCTTATTAACTGAATTACACTCATAGATTGAGAATTTATTCAGTTGAGGATTACATTACTCATACTTAGAAATCAAATACTTCTATTCTACTTTTATCCTACATATAATGAGTAGTGTAGAACAAGGCATATTGTTGCTCAAAATACTCGCTAACTGATGACCCGTTAAATATCTAGCGGGAAAAATAGGTTATTTTAAAAAATTTCATGTGTGTTCTTAAATTTGAAAAAAAATCATCGCTTCATTGTTCCTTGAAAAAATAAAATAATGATGCATAATGCTTAATTCTATTTTCAATTATTCTACATGAAAGTCCATTATTTCAAACTTATTTATTTTCATTATTATCATGTTTAGAGGGTGTAATCGTTTAACTCGTCAAGCTGGATTTCGTCGTCGCCCTGTTATGGCCTCTGGTTCTTATGGTCAGTCAAAAGGTGTAACTTCACTTAAAAATGAAAAGGTGGCTAGTTCTCGTGATAATCACTTACAACCGGAAGTTACACAAGAGATAAAAAGAAGTGATGTAGACAGTAATTTACAGGTAAATTTATCTCCATTTAACTGTTTGTGACTTGTTTATCTTTTCATATTACTGCTTAATCATTAATTTTTAAATCTTTTAGACTTCGTCCAGTGTTTCGAAACCTATATCAACAAATCCTATTTCAGTCGATCAAGCTGTTGGTAAATGTTTATTTTTTATTATTTATTTATTTAAACACATAAAAATTGGTACACGGAGGCACCAAATAGATATGCGCCACGTAAATCATTCGATTTTTGTGAGGGCTGTGATACTGCCCGGGTGTCCAAACCGAAGCAGGTGGTTTTCTTAAGGGGCCACACTCCGAGCCTTTGACCTAAAGGTCTGACACACAAGGCAGTGGGGCATCGTGAGGAGATGCAGTCCCACGGTAGCCGGTGACCAACAATTGGTTCATACGCCATTTGTTCCTTCAGGATACTGGAGCCCATTTGCACCATCAGTTTGGGATCCGGTTAAAGCGCCGGACATTCGCTTTTCGTCCTCTCAATTTCGTATACAACACCCCCGCCACGAGAAGGCAATGAGTAGGACTTCCCTGGCAGAGGATATATACGCGTGGCCGTGCGAGAGCATTTCGAGAGGGAGGGTGGGCCCACCCCACTCTCGGCCATACGAGGGCATTTGGGGCAATGTTTATTTTATCATACATTATTTGGTGAAGTTTTTATCAAAAATAGTCATTCTTGCTTCTTTTGAAATTTCTGTACTTTATTTTTCACTGGTGGATTTCATTCTATTATCTTTTCTTTTCGAACTTACTAAACAAATGAATTTACGTTTTTTTTCGGATAGACAATTTACTCGCTCATCTAATGGGTGTTAAATCATTGGCTGATACTGGATTAACTCGACAGCAATGCTTATTTCAGTTGCGTGGTAATGGAAATACTGAAGATTCAGAAAAGTCAGTATGGTTTTTTGTCTATTTATTTCAATTGCAATGTATTCAATATACTGTGTTATAAATAATTTTCTTTATACATTAAACTATTTAGTTCGAGTAGCCACTAACCTTGTTTAACAGTTTTGATGTTTATACATAAAGATTTTTATTATGATGTTAATATTGGAGGGTCATCCAGTGCTTCTAGGTTTTTAATGGTGGTCTAACATTGATTGGCTCAGGATTTCGATGAAATATGTGTATATTTGGAGTATTATATTTAAAATAAGTATCAAAATGAGGTGTAGAAACGATCATTTTTTGTATGCGTCTTCATAATTTCCAATTGTTAACTATATTTCTTCTATATACGATTGGTTAAACATAAATTTATTAATCTACATATAATCCGAATGATCATCAAAATACTGTAAAATGATATATTCTATTAGACAAACAAATAAATGATAATGATGTATTTACAATAAAATTGATAAATAACAAATGCAACCAATCGTTGATTATTATTAGTATTATCCGGTAGAGGATCTTTGATGTGAACTAGGGATAGGAAATATTTCACTGGTTTTCAAACAACTTCATATCGTGATATTTAAGGTTAATAATAGTTCATTATTATCAAGACTTAACAGTAAACTATTTGATTTTTGACCACTTCTATCTTATTATGGTCTGTGAACTAGTTACAATCAATTTTAAATAACTTGTATTATATGATTTAAAATAAGTTACTTTTATATAAGTAATTTAACTGGGAAAAAGTAAATAACCTATTATCTTATTCTCTTTGATCCTTTCTTTCTTTCTTTTTGGAAAACCTTGTAATCAAATTAGTTAATTCTATCAAGTCAGTTCAATTGTCTTTTAAAATAAAATAAAGATAAATGTTAACTTATTTAAACATTCTTATTCTAAAGAATTATAAACACCCAGGGATTGTAAATGTAAACGGCTTCAATCTCTTTTGGTAAATCAGTTGAGATAAACATTTCTAATTATTTAAATAAGAAGCGAACTGATATGAATAGTTCGCTTTCTTTTCATTTTGACAGTTACAACAGAGCTACAATCTGTGGTATACAATCTTAGTTGTCTCGTTTGTATAATTTGCCGAAATAAGGGTCAAAGTTCATTGTGTAATTTATCAAACTATTGTGTCATTATTTATAGATATTTATCTCTTATTATAATTTTAAAATAATAATACTGGTCAGAAAGCCGATTCATCAGTACTCATTAATTGTTTACTAATATATATTGACATTATATTAGTTGATTAATTATTTATAATGTTCTTGGTTTTAATTCTGTGTGTTATAGTCTTGGGTACATTTTGGGCTGTCTAGAGGTTTCCTGTACTTTCAATACTTATCTAGTCGATCTCACTTTGAGATGAAAATCACTGTTAAGTGATATAAAATTTCTATAAAATCATTTAAATAATGTTATGACGTGAAAAATATTTGCTGCGGATTAAGGGTAGCGAATTATTGATCGGACCAAAGACGCGCAAAAACGTAGAACGGCCTAGGGTTCTGATTGGTCTCGCTTCCCTGTCTAACCCGGCCAGTTGAGTCCAGAACGAAAGTCTCAGCCTCGGATATATGAATCATTATATTTCAAACATACTTTGTTTATATACCATTCAAGCAGACCACAACGTACCATAAAATAGAAGATAACATTGTACAATAATGGCCAGTAGGAAAGTAACACGTTAAATAAATATTGACCAATAAGATGATACCATTTCATGTCCAAGGATAGCATTAGGCTTAACAGGATAATTTTTGGGATATTTTCCTGAATATCCCAACAAATAATTAATTCATTGTTATTGTCTTTTGATTTTTATTTTTTGTATTTTTACCGTTGAAATCACGAACGGATCTTAGCTAGAATATTACTGAAATTCTGAAAGCAATGAACAGTTGTTTTATCCTAGTATGAAACTCCTCAGCAGTGCAGATCTGCGACTCTGCAAGCAAGGGTATGGAGTTGTCATTATTTCGATGCTTTGAACTCTAACTTGCTTAGTAGTATTGCTCTTTCAAGTATCTAATCATTCAGGTTTTTCGAATTCAATTGTCTTTCTGTATTAATAATTGAAAGTTTTGTTGTTCAGTCAATATTCAACTAATATTATCACTAGTATTGTTAACAGAACACAAATTGAACGTAGGAAATGCTTTCTAACAATTAGCACTTGATTATCGTGTTTAACAACCAGGATATATATATTTTTTTTACCGTGAATATTTAAAAGATGTACCAGTCAAATAATTGTTTAACCCATTATAAAGAATTATATATCTTTCAGGTATTATGATCAGAAGTGATAATTAGTGCAGAAAATTATGATCAACTAGTTCAAATTAACCAAACCTCGTAGATGTGGTTACATAATATATTATCTATACGATGGTATAAATAAAACTTTGTTTCTAAGTTGAACTTCATGGAAATATATACATTACTATAGGTTAAACACATAAGAGGTTGTCTCTTGAAAAGATCACATGTAATGTTCATTCTTTCCATGGAATTTTTTAATGTTTATTCAAGCTTTTTTGTTGAATTTTAATCAAGTGCTAATATAATTTCAACATAATTAAGTAATTTTAAGGCTATGAAACTACTGTAGTGGGTGAGAACTTTGGTGGGGAAAACCAATTTATTGTTTTATGCAAAAGTACATCATGTTTTAGTAAAATATGAAAACCATGCATTAAATACATTGTTTGTATATCTTGCTTCACTTAGACTTCACATGCTTCATGATTCTTTCAATTCTGTTGTTATTAAAATAGCTCTCTGTATCTCTTCCTGTTCTTTTTAATTCAATCTTCTGTTGGCAGGCATTTCAATTCCGATTGATGCTACATACTAATTACATCTGTCAGCATAAGTAGCATATGTCACACTATTACTACTGCTGATTGATTTACTAAAAATATATAAATTGGTGGAATATTAGCAAAAACATACCTGTTCATTCTTTCAAGATTATTCCAATGAACTTGAAACTGAAATATGGCACCTCTTTAAACAGTACAATATTTCGACACTTAATTAGTTTAGTTCATACTGTCAACATTATTAATTCTTTCAGAATTTTTAATAGAGAAGAAAACTCAACTTCACAACATTCCACTGATCCGTCATTCCCAATCATTTAATTCTTAAAACTTACATAGACTTTTAAAATCTATAGTCTTCAGAAAATTTATCTCATCAATATTTGAGTTTTAGGTAATTACTGTTTTATGTTTTCTACATCTTAAATGACTGTACGCATCCATATGTAGTACTGATATTTGCTATCATTACAATTGTTTTCATTCATTAATGTGTATGGCTTAATATTATGTTATATTTCAATACGAATAAGGTTGTAAGCAGATGATGAGAACCTATGAGAGTTCATTCTATTTTGCATTACTTATTTCTACTACTATTTTTTAGAACTATCACAATCACTGAGTAGAGATGAGATATCCAAAGGCTCCACATTGTTCACTTTGTTTAATATTATCCTTATTTTTTTTATAATAGCTGGGAGAATAGGTCATGTTCTAACAGTCTTTTACAAGAGTTAATCAGATTATTTGATTAGATAAACCGTCAATCTTTTTTTCAAATCTCTGAAAATAACAACGGATTTGTTAAATTTCAAATTTATTACCTACTTTATCTCTGTTTTTTACATCTTAATTTTTTCTTTGTTTCAAAAATATATATATATATATATATATAGTGCCGAATGGGATATTTTGTATGCCGTCACCGAAGCTGCCACTGATAATGCTACAGTAATACCAGAACCGACTGAAACTATTACTACTAATATTGCTACTATTACCACTACTGCTGCTACATCTCAAACTGACGGTCAACCAGCTCAACTCAGATCTGCTAGTCCTGAGACAAAAAATCGGTAAATGTCATCAATTTTAGTGTATCTATCTATTCATCTCTCTTAGTTATCTAATCAAGCGAGACAAAATCTTTTTATATGTTTCTCATTATCAAATTTTCATTTTCTCTTGTATGTGAACAGTTGATTCGTTAATTTTTTTTATTGTTAACGGAGAAAAAACCAAACGAACGGTAAACTGTTAAACAAAGATCAAACATTTTCTGAGAAAAAAAATTTCGAATGGAATGTGCTTACGCAGTATACATTTTAGATAGTAAAAAATAGCAGTAACTCGGTCGCGCATATTTACTTGAAAATTATTAAAAGATGGTCGGAAGCAGGTTCAACAAATCGATAGTACTAGTAATAATAAAGACAAAATATTATTAATAACGAAAGGTAACATAATTAGAGTAAAATTAAAACAGATTTTAAACTAACTAGCCATCTTAATGTGTAAATGAGACAAAGTTAATCAGTGGTTAAAAGTGATGATGATTCTGTAATTTATTTACCAAGTAAATTTCACGTAACTTGTCATACTGTTTGTATGAGATCTAGTGATACTGCTTGGTTGTTCAAAGGATAAGGTAAGTGGAGTATGGTTCGAACGTACAAACTATGTCTTCAAACTCGATTAATTTAATCATTAAGCAACTGGATTACAACTACAAAGGTTATTTTTAAGAATGGAACATTTAAGAAGCAACTATAATGTAATTTAAGATGAAGTGATAAAAATTGCTGGAGAAAATAACAGGAATAATAATTCTGTTATAGCTTGATTAATAAAATTAATTTTATTGTAATCATGATGATGATTCATTTTTGGGCATCTGTTTGATACTTGTATCGTTAAATATTCAAAACCCTACTTGAATGTCATTGAAACAAATGTCATTCATAAAGTATTGAATACAGTATACCACATTTGCTAGTCGAAAGCATAGTAAGCGTTCCATACTCAACTTTTAATTGATATCATCTATGTATTGAATTTGACAGAAATGATTTATCTCAGGAAAAAAGCAAACCGAAAAAAACAGTATTTTTCACAGAAACTTCAATATATACATATAAATTAAAAAACGTTATAGTAAATAATGGTTACATACAATCCAAATAGAATTTCTATAACAAAATTCTATTAAGGTGTACTTAATCACAAATCAATTTTCTATGAAAATCACACTTAAAAATGGTGGCTGTTAGAGAATGTTTTCTCATTAGCTAAAAAAAAGCAATTAGTTGTATTTCAAAATTGATAAGTCTTCTTATTGAACGCTTGAATAGGTTTTCTAAGCTCTTCTAATAACTCCAGGCTAAATCCACACGACAGCTTGAACACGAGGAAAATGGCGTATAGTTTGAAAAAGAACACTATACTCCAAGGTTGATTTATGTATAGAAAATCGAGGGCATTCGCAGTATTTCGGATGGTTTTGGGCTTCTGGAAGATTCCATAACGCTGTTAAATATAGCAGCGGAATAGTTAATCATCCAATTAGAAATATGACACATGACTCGTGAATTTGTAAATGTTTCTGATAAACTACTCAACGCGAATCGGATAAAATGTTTCTCGACGTTTTCAGGACCTCTTTGGACTTGGTTAGAGGAATACTTTGGATCTCCCTAACATCTTTCTTCTTTCAAAAAAATAAGACTTCATCTTTGGTTCTAATTGTCACATTAGAAATATTTAATGAATATTTATTGAACTTTATTGTTTATCAAATCTGATAATAATAAAAATAAAATTTCACCTTTTTCTTTGTTTGCGTATACTAGCGATGGTACCTATCAAGACGATGCATTTAATAATTTGGATGAAGATTCATGGGATTTACAAGAAATCAGTATCAAAGCACGTTTTCAATCTACTAATGAGAATCAAGAGGTTGACGATGAAATTCATACTCAAGGTGATTTATTTATTAATATTATTATCTTTTTACATGTTTGTTGGGTGATGTTAAATAATTCATAGACTGTATTAAGTAGAAGTTAGCCTTAACATCCATTTATTGATTTAACATGTTTTCCGTCTTCATTTCATTTGTGTTAATTAGTTTATTGGGATTTTTCATTTGAGGGAGGATTGTTCATTTCGATAAAGTTGTTAAGTAATAATCACTGAATGTAAGCGGTGTATAACTAGATAAACTCGATTATGGCATTGATCTCTGATTTCTATCAAATAAATCTTTTTTACAAGATTTACGTTTCGAAGTAATTGGGGACTAGGATAGAAGGAAGCTATTTTTTCTGATATCAAATTATTATCGAATCCACACTAATAATGGTTTTTCATTCTCTTTGTTTGAAGGGGAGATGTGTACTTTTTTTAAGGATTGAGAATCAATTGGGAAACTATATAGTGTTCATTTTTTATGGAGAAATATTTCATCGTTAATTGGAACTCTTAATCAATACATACTTCACTTAAAATTAGATCTAAGATCTTTATCAAATATTAGTCAACCCTAAAATCGATAATATTTATGGTCCAGATTTTTCTTTTTAACTTTAGTCAATGAAATTTGTGGATATCAGTGCCAAGGTTGAACTTAATAGTTTCAAATAAATTGAGCATTAGGTAGAAAGTTAATAATAAATATATTTTTCGTTACATCCCAATGAGTCGAAAAAATTGTATTTTTGACGTTTCGTGACTTAATGTAAGCCACTTCTTCCCAGTTAATAAATAACTGATTGTTATAACTTGTGATCTGTGTGCCCTGTTAATGTATAACGTAACGAAACCGCCAATTAGAGAGTAGTGAATTATCGATCGGACCAATGATGCGTAAAACCCGTACGAGCAGTCTAGAGTACTTATCGGTCCTGCTTCTTGCCTAGCACAGCCAGTTAAGTCCAGAACATCATTCTCAGCCTCTGCAATATGCATCGTTTATGTATATACCAACCACACAGACGACATTGTACCATAAAATGGAAAATAACATTTGTACAAGATTTTGTGAGTGTGCGAGGTAGTAATTAATAGACAGGGCATAATTCAAGAATGATAAATCGTATAATACTAGTTCATAGGTCAAAATTAAGCTTATAATAAGAGGAACGTGAATATGAACAGTTTAGTTATTTAACAATTATACAACAAAAATATACACATAATATTAGTTCATAAATGGATCCTAAAAGTTACCATTCATTATTCTTATCAGGGCATAACACTGATTATTCATTTACTTTGAAAAAGTTATCATAAAACGTCAGAAATACAACTTCTTTATTCTTTGAGATGTAACATATTAGTCAATTCATTGTATATATTATAACTTCCTATTAGAATTTAATCTGAAATTCATAAACTACCTACATTTCATGGTGTATTATATCATATATCGAAAATCATTCTTTAAAATAGAATAGTTTATTTTCGAATATATATATATATTTGAAGAATGGTTTCCTATTATAATCTTTTCATTGTGTTATATTCAATTGATAATCTAGTTTAATAAATATTTCACTATGTACTTTTACATATTAAATGTCAATCTTAATACAATCGAAAATAATATTTGTGTTATTACATTCAACTGTTCTTTCTTTTCAAACAAAAATATTGTTAATGTTCTGATTTTAAGAAACTTTATATTTTCTATTTTTAACGTCCTAATCGTTAATCATCTACTCGCCCTCAATTTTTGTTTTCTCTTCCAAATAAATATCTTAACCATTTATTCACAAAAAAATTAATGTATATATTCATTATTCGAAAAAATATTCTAGAAGCTGTGGCTAATCGATCCAATGACTCTGGTTCCGATGGTAATGGTGGTAATAATTCATCGTCGAATTCATTACTTTGGTTTTTTCGTAAAGGTTTTAGACCTTCAAAATTACAACAACAACAACAACAACAAAATCGTCCATTATCAACTGCTCCTATATATACTATATCATTATCACCATGTTTTCCATTTACGTTTCGTTTACACTTGAATCGTTTAGAGTTGGGATATATTTTTGATAAGTAAGAATTAAATTTTCTTTTTTTTTTCTGTTTTTCTTTGTTGTTGTCATTATCGTTATAAAAGGTATACTTTTTCAATTGATCATGTTAAATAAAGTAGTTCTAATTAATTTGCATTTATGTCATATTCTCCCCCTCCACTCGTGTTTTAAAATTCCTATGGAAAAGATACTTATTGTGCAAAATCGTGAAAAATTGAGACAGTTTCATTATTTAAAAAAAAATAATTACTAGGTAAAAAGTTTGTATAAATAAAATAAAACTGGGATTAGTTTAGTTTAAGTTAAAAGCTTGTTTTATTGTCGCCAACATTTGATTGCACTCTTAATGTTAGTTTAATGGATGCCTAATTTGTCTTTAAATTAAAGTAAATTAGTAAATTAAACAAAATGTATTATGCATAAAAGTGTTTGTACGTGTATTTCTCTTTTGTTTGTAATTTTTGAACTTGTGCCAAAGATTTAGACATAGTGTTATGTCAATATATTTATTAATTATCTTGAGATGTTAGGTGGTTGGAAGGTAGGTAGTCGACTGGTCATTCTGAGCTTAGATTTCATGCTAGTTGATACTCATAATTTCGAATATCACGTCAACTAACTTACCAGTCTAAGAATCTACTCATACGATTAAGATTTTTACAATTGATTGGTCACTAACTAATGACTATTGTTATATTTATGTAGTTATTTAATGCTGATCGAATTTTATCGACCAAGTTACAATATGGATACTCATCTATGTATTTGAAATCAGAAATGTTAGCAAGTGTGTTTTGGAATGCAAAATTTTCTTTTTCAGTGTCTTTAAAAGTTTCATACTTTTAAAAGGACTAATATCAGTTGGAAAACATTTGATAGTCAGAATGCACTACGTAGTCCGGGATTTTGTTTTATCACTACACATCAAACTTCACACAGAATCGAACTCATTACTTAATGGGAAAGTATCGTCTATTTGGAGTTTCTCCCTCAACGTTGTTCCATCAGTGGTTGATGTAGAGTAAAATTGTTTAAAAATCGCATTATATATATTGAAATATAGATTTATGAATGCAGAATATTTACTTCCATCATACTGTGCGTCCAAACTAATGATTAAAACGAACAGAAAGTTTTTTAGAGCAAACGCATCTTATAAAGTACGGGATTGCCAGTAAAATTAATTTATTAACTGGGGTTTGTAAATGTTAAAATGATTCATATGAAATGGATACTCGTTTCAGTTCTTAAATCAATTGAGATTGTGGAACGAATAATTGAAATAAATATAGGTAAATTTGTGTAAGGGAAATAATAATGTCAGTACTTCTCGAATAACATATTTGAACAAAGCTTACATGTTTTTTGACACGATACCAATTTAGTGAACGATTGTGAAATAAGAGGGTGTGTATAACGTTCTGAATTTGATAGGCTTACCAATTATATAACGGTTCGCATTTCACCTGAATGCACTTTGAATGCTGAGAGGGACGTGCGGAGCAGTGTGCGCGAGGAAAGCTGAAACCAATCACTCAGAAAGCATATAGAATGCACTTATATCTAATAATGAAAGCAAGTGGTAATAATTAGTAATGGTATGGGACTAAGACAAGCATATGTAAGCAAGAGACTTCGAATCTTTTGCAAGTGTTAATTAGAAAAATGTCATTAATTAATAATTATTAATAAATCAGATAAATTGAACTTACGGAAATGTGACAAGCGAGACAATCTGCTAATTAATCAATTGTGTATGTTGACGTATTGGCTGGGGTAGAGGAAGCAAATGAACAAAACTATTGCCAACACTTCGCGTCAATTTATAGTTCTAGTGCCTACTTTTTCTACCGTCTAAAAGTCTAGAAGTGCAATGGATTCTAACTAACATGACAGACTGTTATAATCTCTTTCTTACGGTTATGACCCAGCTATTCCTATTGCTTAGTATTCTCGGACTCCGATTCGCTGGACAAGTCCCCAAATCAGAACACGGTTGAACAGGAAAGAGATTATATTCCAAATAACCAGGTTAGATGGAAGTGAGAAGCAAGTAAGAAGCACAATAGGAAAAACGTTAGTATATTTATAGTTTTTACACGAGAAGATTCTTGAGTGTTCTCCAAGTATCGACTAGTGCTGATTGGACAAGAATTAGCCAATCAGCGTGCACCAAAGCAATCATGCATTGAGCATGCTTTAATCCAGTCTATATCCCACTAACACAGACTATTGACAAGGAATAATTCATTCTGACTGAATAACCCGTTTAAATAAAATCAGTCAAAATGGAAATTTTGATCATCTTAACTGTACCTTTATATAGTCATTCTGGAAGATGTTTATGCATACAAGAATGTAAAATATATCATAATAAAGGTTGGAATGATAAATACATATAGATACTTCATCTTTTCTTAGTCTTGATTTCACTATCGGTTGGATAGATAATATTAGTTGTAGCTTCATTACACTGAATTCATTGAGATGTATAGTCATACTTAAATATTGAGTTTATTTTACTATTTTGGTTTTTATAAAACCGATTAGTACATTTGCACCTTTTCATGGTACACTTGTAAATTAGATGCTGCAACACACAGATCGACATTTTAACAGTTAAATATCTGAAGTTGTTTAAAATCTTAATAATTGAAATAATAATTTTGTTTTCAGTAAACCCAATTATGTTTCTGTTTTCCATTTACATTATCTTAATAATCTTGATATATATGTACATATATATAGTGAAAGAGAGTTACGTTACATTTTTTTTGTGTGCATCATTAACTTTTGAAGATTAAAAAATTCGATAAATCTTATATGTATGTGTTATGTGTTTCTTTCTCTACATCATAGAAGTTTTACTATCATGGAAATTATATTATGCTCTATTTTGGCCGCTTTAGTCAGTATTATTGGCTATTATACGTTACGTACTGCAAGTTTTCAAAATTATGGACCATTAGCATGTTTCACTATTGCTGGATGTCATTATTCACTTATGAAAAGTGTTCAACCCGATCCAGCTTCACCAAAACATGGATTTAATCGTTTGATCGTATTCACTCGTTCATTTTTCTTCTGTTCTTTTGCTTCTATCTATCTACTGGCTAATTACTTATATCAACCACAAAAATCTGTACCATTTTCAGGAGAAATGTCAAGTATAGAACATACAGGAGAATTACGTTTTGAATCAATTTCAACAATATATCAATCGACTAGACAAATGTTACCATTAGATATTGGTGAAGCATCAAATGAATTAACAACAGAGAAAATAAATTGGCGTGTGCCTAATTTTTATCATCTTTCTCAATCTTATAAAATGATTGTTGAACCTTCTTCTTCTCCATCTACTATTAAATTCTATGGTGTTAATTTATCTGTAGATCGTTTAACCTGCCTAGTTAAATATTCATCTATATATGTTCTATTAATATTTCCCATATTGTTCTGTCTTGGCTTGATGCCTCAAATAAACACTGTACTTATTTATGCTTTAGAACAATTAGATATTCATATTTTTGGAGCAAGTGGTAAGTAATATATATATATAAACTGGTTGTCTGTGGGCAATAATTTACTGTTGTTACACCATACTACAGTCTTTAATACGACTTTGCTCTCAGATCTTACGTTTCCGCTTTTAGTCTAATCATTCTTCAATCAACCAGTTTGGTGTGATATTACTTAAAAAAACAAACGTTCTAGTCAAGATAGTTGAATTTGCTCATCACAGTGGGAAAGCTTAACTACTACATCTAAATAACGGCTGCTGTTGAGATGTATATGTATATATAATTTTAATTTGTTTACCAGAAAATTATAACTTTATTAATATGCAGATAGTGAAATGTTATTAACAGTTAAAACTTTGAGATAATATTTCAATTATTTTTTTATTGTTAAGATCCATATATGAAATGAGTTGTTAAGCTTTTTCATTCTAGATGCATAAAACACCACTATATGACTGTAGGAAATGCAAGAGTGAATTGAAATATAACAAATGAATAGTCGATTATTACTTGCCTAATCACTTAGTTTTGTTAACAACACTTCATTGTGTTATCTTTTTGCTGAATCTTTTCCATTCTCTTGGAAATATCGAAGCAACATCTACTATCTGTAAAATATAAGTTTTCTTGATAAACATAAGAAACGTTTTTGTTTGCTTATGAAATGAAATATCACTCTACCATAAAATAGATTATTGAATTATATTTGTATAAGCTATTTGATAAAGACACATTTCTGTATTTGATCTTCAATCACACTGTATTTATTGAGGACTAATGTTATATAATTCTGTTGTCTAAACTCAAGTAGAAAACAGGATTCTAATTTGTTCCCTATGTGATCTAAAATTGGAGAGATTAAAACATTAAACTATCTCCCTTATAATAAAAATATAAATGTAACTATATTTCAATAGGGAACTAACAAATATACTGATCTATATTATAATCTACTGATTATTTTTAATTCATTATATCATATTTCCATTGGTTTATTTGGTTTCACATTTCAGTGATATCATATAGCTCCGCCTGAATTTCTAAAAAACGATCTAATTACAATGGTTTTTAATCTGTTGTTAGAATGTGCTAAGGTATTCAAAAAATCTACTATAATTATTTCATTTTATCACCATTATAATTTAATTCGTGAAATTGATGTTACATTTTTTGTTGAGTCAGAATATTTATAAGCATTAACAAAAAACGTCCAGTGTGCTCTCATTCATTACTTTACTTACTTACGCCTGTTACTCCTAATGGAGCATAGGCCACCGACCAGCATTAGCCATCCTACTCTGTCCTGGGCCTCTTTTTATAGTTCCATCCAATTCTTGTTCATTTTTCTCATGTCTCTCTCCATTTCCCGGCCTAATGTGTTCTTTGGTCTTCCTCTTTTCTTTTGGCTTTGAGGATTTCATGTGAGGGCTTGTCTGGTGACGCAGTTGGGTGCTTTCCTCAATGTGTGTCCTATCCACTTCCAGCGCTTCTTCCTGATTTCTTCCTCCGCTGGGATGTGGTTTGTTCTCTCCCACAGTTGGTTGTTGCTAATAGTGTCCGGCCAACGGATCCGAAGTATTTTGCGTAGACAACTGTTAATAAACACCTGTATTTTCTGGATGATGGCTTTCGTAGTTCTCCAAGTTTCTGCCCCATACAGTAGAACTCTCTTGACATTTGTATTGAAAACCCCGACCTTGGTGTTCGTTGACAGTTGTTTTGAGTTCCAGATGTTCCTCAGTTGTAGATATGCTGCTCTTGCTTTTCCGATCCGCGCCTTCACATCTGAATCAGATCCACCATGTTCATCAGTGATGCTGCCCAAATATGTAAAGGTTTCTACATCTTTCAAATCTTCTCCGTCAATTGTGATTGGATTAGTGCATGCTGTGTTGTATCGGAGAATCCTGCTTTTCCCTTTGTGTATATTGAGACCTACTGCTACTGAGGCTGCTGCCACACTCTTCGTCTTCTCCTGCATCTGTTGTTGCGTTTGGGATAGAAGGGCCAGATCATCTGCGAAGTCTAGGTCGTCTAACTGCATCCTAGATGTCCATTGTATCCCGTGCTCCCCTTCAGATTTTGATGTCTTCATGATCCAGTCGATCACCAGGAGAAAGAGAAATGGTGAGAGTAACAACCTTGCCTGACAACGGTCTTTATTTTGAACGAGTCTGTGACCTATCCTCCATGCACGATTTTGCAGTGTAATCCATCATATGAACTCTGTATGATATTGACTATCTTCTGAGCCCTCATTCATAACATAAGTTAATTGTTATATATATTATATAAGTGAGTGGTTTAGTAAATATTTTTATATCTTTCCTGTAGTCATAATTATTTACTTCATAATTAGTTCATTTTTATGTTCTTTGTGTATTTAGGTACTACTGGACTTTTTTCAGTAATATTATCTATTTTTCGAACATTCATAGTGATTGGTTTGACATTTGTTCCATGTTATTATGCAGTACAAGTAAGCAATTATTAATCATTAAACTGAACTGATACTATTCAAAATTAAGCACTGGGAAAATGTAATCAGTTTATGATCGTACAGTTGTATAGTGTTTAAATTTATAGCTGACTGACTGTATAGTGTTTTAAGTACTTGGCTTTCAACTACTGAGGTCTGTTCGAATTCAGTTTAAGCAATAAGATATCAGTAGAATACCTAAATCTTGCATTTAAATCATGACTCTAAGCTAAGTGCACAAATCTGTACTTGGTGAATTGAGTTACACTTAGTTAAATCTGGATTTATTTCGTTAATCTGTTACACCTAAAAAAGTAAACAACTTGTACGGAATATTACTAATTTCTAACGAAGATCTTGTTTCATTTTACCGTAGAAGTCTGTCGTTCGAAATAAATTTGTTAGATTCTATGATTGTTCACTTATAAATGTTATAATTAATTCTAAGTGTTTTTGAAGTTAGCTTCTCACTTTCCAATTAGTAATGTTATCAACTGCCTTTTATTACATTGGTTAAATATCTCAAATGTTTATTTAGTCAAGACACTATAACACAAAGATTTCATGATTCATGCAACTATCACTAAGTTAAACATTTTCTGATATTCATCATTACATTTAATCATTGCAGTTTGCCATTTTAATTCATTTTTGTATATTTTTGTTCAAATCTTGCCATTGGTGTTTAAGACTGCAATTGATCAGTCTATTATCAATGGGAAGATTCAAACAAACAATACAAGAAAGATTGAAACTTCACCCTATTGCACAATGTAGTGGCTATCAGGGCTCAGTAGCTAAGTGGATAACGCGAGTGCGTTTGAAGTGAACGGTAGTTGGCTGGAGTCCCAGAGTGAACGTCAACTTTGTTACAAAATTGCATCCACCTGACGAGTCCCAAATAGGATGAAACGCGCGCCTTGAATTTCACTGCTGGCCATCATTCATCTTGGCTTATAAGCTTGTTATTTGTCTTAAGTAAAAGTTTTGTATCACTAAAGTTTTTTGAGTCATTCAGTCCTTCGATTACATGAAAATAGGATTCATTTAGTTCCGTATTAATTGTCTCAGTTGTTCAACTTTTTAGTCTTTTATTCACAAGTTCGATAAAAAACCTTTACATAACAATATGCTCTTAGGTCAGGCACTCACATACAGATAGATAAACCGAAAATGAATAGCAAGGACTAATCTCCTTTGGTAAACTTTTTAAAATAAAAGATGGACAACAGTTCACGGATCACAATTGCATATCAGTACAAGTTTCCAAACTTTATACTAAATTAAAGAGAAGAAACAAACTATTACTGGTTCAAACGGTAGTGCAGATTTAAGAAAAAAGAAACAAAAAGGAAAGATAAAATGAAAGAGATACAAATTAGACGATATTCTCAGTTCAAATTAAGATAATGAGTTAATCTATAAGCATTATGTCCACTGAAATTGAGTTATATCACACAAAGTCTTCATCAGTTTATTTTATTTGTCATATGAATCTCAACCTTATTCGTCTGCACCTTTCAGTAGTTTCATAAACTGACTATGCTTGGAGTTTGGTTACTCTCAACCTTTTTATTTTGTATCTTGACAATTACGGGCACAAGACATCGTAGCAGACGACATCAAGTTGTTCATTGGTTCCATCATAAAAGAATAATTTTTCCAACGTATTTATGATTTTACACTTGTAACTTACTCATGTTGTTAGCTTTCAAGGGTAGGACGGAGTAAATTGATTTGTAGCCTGTTCATTCTTTGGTAATTGGATAAATATTAAGTTGCTTACTCTGTCGAAGATCAATCATGCGTTGATTCCATCCTACTGAGGCTGATGCTGTTCTGACTGTCTGATTATACATTGTTGTAAACTATTCCTATGGAGATATTTTGTATTCCACAGAGAGAAGCTTATCCTTCCATATTCAAAATGCTTTGTGTTACGTGTGATATCATCTTTTAACCTTAAGTTTATTAGATGATCTCTAGCAAACGGTTAATTCTTGATAAGTTAGTTCAAGGTGTTTTCAATGAAGAATCTGAATGAATAGGAATAATTCTGAGTCACTGTATTCAACGCAGATCTTTTTAATCTCTAGCACTGACACAAGTGTTTCGGAAAAAAACTTTTACTTATGTATTGTATTTGTTAGTCATTGTATTTTACATGTTATTTGGCTTCTGGCAATTGTTTGTTTCTGTCAAATGTGAAGATTTTTTTTATTATCATGAAGTTGGTTTAAATGAATTATCTTCCCCATTTGATTTTTTTAGAAGTCCGATCCTCAATGCATGTTATTCTCAATATTTTGGGGTATACAAATTGCATTGTGCTTTTTACTAAGTCGTCTACCATCGAATACTATACTTTATGAGACACTTTTTCCTTCTGAACGTCGCATATACTATTGGTATCGTATTCGAATGTTTTTCTACAATGCTTGGCATAAAATAACTGTAAAATGTAATTTAATTTTTCGATCAAAAGAGAGAAAGGAAAAGAAGAAAACACAGAGATCTCAATTAACTTCTATCGATAAATCTAATTGGTGGAGACGACTACCTCTACTGTTTCCTAATCTTCGTATGAAATCTACAAATGCATCATTTAAGAAAACTGATGAAAATGTTGAAGAATTTCTCCTTTCTCGTCTAACACACACAAAAGAATGTGTAGATGTTGAGAGTGGAGTGCCAGGTCAGTCTAAATAGTAATAATAATAATAATAAAGTAGTAATCAGGTGTTATTATTTTAACAACGTGTTGGGTTATTAAACGTTTGCAAACTTGCTTGAAAGTTATTCTGAAGTGTTTAACTGCAGAATATTTACTCAGTTTTTGTGCCGATTACTGTAAACAGATTTCATCAGTCTACTACTGATATGCCTAAACTGTCTTCCTACCCGGTTTCTATAATTTCAACTACTACACATCAACTAGAGCGATAGAATGAAGGTGAAAATTACTAGTGAAAGCTTTACTCCAAGGTTAGTCCATGTAAAGAAAAATGAGAGTATTTATGGGGTTATCCATGACTTAGAGCTTCTAGAAATTTCTGGAACCATACTAATTATATAGCAGTATAGATGAACATCCACGTGATTCTGCATTTTCTGTGTTTTTGCTAAGCTTTTATTCAACACTGTTTGGATAAACCTTTTCCTGGCGTTTCTTGGCCTTCGGAGACTTTAATGAGAGATATTTTGGGACTCCTTCAACAAATTATTCGATTTTACTACCGTGTATAATTATTAAAGCCAACCAAATTATTTCTTCAAGTTTTTGAATAATTAATTATTTCGTTGGAATCATGAACCGATTTTATTTAAGCAACCATTAAAAATCTGGATACACTGGGTCTTTTCAGTAGTTCACATCTACGATGCCCCATTTGGGAATCGAGTTTCAGACCTTCATCTTGCACTCAACCGAAACGGGCATCCAGTGCTTTCAAGTTTTCAATAGTTGCCCAACTTAGATTGATCCATGATCTCAATGAAATTCAATAATCTCCACAAACTTAAATTAATAATTAATTATTCATCAGTGTAAATGATTTTTCTGAATTATTTTGGTATAACTACTTTTTTTATATTTCACTGGTCATTTAAGTGCATGTATATGATAATTTTAAAATGCAATTGCTGAATATAAACACCATAACACTATTCATTTACATATTGTTATTACACAAAATTAATTCTCTAATGGAACTCAATAACTATGTGGATATTTTGAATAGTTGCCTTTTTAAGTTACTAGTTTTTTGTGACCTGGGTCGATATAAACTGTTTGCACAAATCAAAGTAAGTAGACATACATGATTGTAATTTTCTGCTCAACTGATTCAATATCAAGTGTATATAAATATTATAATATCCTTAAAATAAACATCTTATTACCCCACACCTTTGTTGAATATATTCTTTATCACTATGTATTAATATCTCATAAGTAACCATAATGAAATATAATAAATTTCAAATTTAATTATAATAGTTGAAATATGTTTTGATAATTATTAGTATGGAAATGAATTTCTAGGAGTTCTAATGAAAAGCTATGATCAGTGGAATTCAATCCGTTTCGAATGTGAGACAGTTGTTCATCTCAGACAATGGATGAAAGGTTGTGTAAGATCATGGGCCGATTGAGGTTAGACATTAACACTGTTTGATGCGGGCCCAGTGGTCTAGAGTTTAAGTGTTCGCGCACGAGACCGAAGGTCCTGGGTCTGAGTCTCGCGTGTGAGATCGTTGACGCACGCTGCAGAAGAGCCCCATACTAGGACGAAACAGCCATCCAATGCTTCCAGGTTTTAAATGTTAGCCTAGGTTAAATCGACTTGTGAATTCAACTACTAAAATATTTTGATCAGTTAACTGTTTTTAACGAAAATTGGAAATTTTATCGGGACGGAAAATTCGATAATCTGGTATGAATTTTAATCAAGAAAAAAAATCATGGTAGTGTTGCGTAAATATATATCCTGTTTCATGAATCTTCTACTATCTGCCATCATTGAATAATAATTAGTGATTCATAAGCAAAGTAGAAGCTCTCAAATATCTATGGATCAATTCAAGTTGCCTCACGCTGTCAGCATAGGAAGATGAAATCATCAAGAAAGTTATCAGAGTAGTAGAAGCAAAAACGCTATCAGTAATATTGTAGTGAACGAGAACACAAGTGGGGACAATCGAATGTATTTGAACACAAAATGACAGAATATCCTAGTAAGATCTGAGAACCATACAGTAAATACTTCATTTGCAAAATGTCAATTCATCGTCTCAAGCTTTATTGTTCCTTCATTTCCACACCAATCCTTCCCTGTTCTCGTTCTCTTTTCGTAACCTTCTGTCTCTAGGCATTTCACATTCGATTGATGATACATACTACTTATATCTGTAAACATCAGTAGCACACATCACAGTATTAATGATAGTAGATATGATTATGTTTTGTAAACAATATAATTCAAGGAGTAAATTTGTTTTTTTGGCTTGGCCGTCTCCAAATTTCTTCCAACCAACTCTTACACTAGTAAACTGCTCGTTGAAGTAATCAATAACTGAGTATACGTAATTACTATAAATAATGGGTTTAAATATTTTTTTTTACAAATTGCTTAAGGTTGGAAATAACATGAAGGTGGACTTACTAAATAATAATAGTACAGATTTCTTTTTTTCGACTATATCAAGATGTGTAGCATAAATACAATAGTACTACCAATCGTATTATTTTTATTATTTACTGAAAAAAACCTACTGTTATTCTCCCTTTGTTTTTTTTTTCAAAGTTCAAAGTAATAGTTTGCCATGTCGATTGATCAGTCGAGATAGCTTAACTCAGTCAACTTCTACACCCGCTATTAAATACAATTTTGAAGCACCTTCAACAATTGTTGTATCATCCAGTTGGATTGAATCACAGGATGTTAATAATTATGAAAATAAGAAATTCTCTACACTTGATAAGATTAACAATAATACTAATAATGGTGATAACAATAGCAATGATGATAATAATAATCATACCAATACATTACCATCATTTGTAATTGATCAGAATCTATCAGCATCTGTGAATACTTTAACAATAAGTAAAGATAATTCAAGAGTGACCACCGAACAATATCAAACCACCGATTCAAAAACAACACAATCACAATTTAAAAATGATGATCCTCTACCAAATTTAATTAGAATCTCATTATTGGCACGTTTTGAAAATGATTTACTCTCTTGTATTTTATGGTTCATTTTAGCGTTCCTTATTCATTTGACAATTACTATAATCAATACTGCTATTGATTCTACAGATTTTCATTCTTATTATTACTGTTACATTTTAAATTGGATCAGTGTTGTACTTGGTTTTCTGTTGCATTATGTTTGGCCTAATTTTAGAAAGGTGGGTCATTTTTATATCTTTTAATAACTTGTTTAACAATATATTTTTGGCGGAGTAGGTTTGTGGAATTGTTCACTTTGTTGTACTACATTAAGGATTGATTTAGGCTAGGGATAACCAGTGAGAACTAGGAATCACTGGGCAGTTGTTGCGTCATATAGTAGTATCTTTGATCAATGCTCTTGTTTACACAAATTGACCTTAATTTTTCGTATCAGTAAAATGCACTGGTATAAAGCAGTTGTACATTTTTCTTTTAGATTGAATGAAATAGTGTATTTTATTGGTTTCAATCTTATTCAACCAAATATTACAAATATACTTTAATTAGGAAAATATGGTTCATTTCTTATCTAAGGAATATCTATAAAATGGCATAGAGATTTCTATAAAAGTGCGTTGTTATTCAAGTTACTGCTTCTTTATACCGTTTTTTACTGTCATAATGGACAACTTAATTTGTAGAGTGTCACAAATGACTCAAGCTACTTGGTGTCGTATGACAGTTTATAAATAGTAGTCCTATCTGTAAACGAAACCCGACGTGATCGTTCGATTTGGATGTAAGCATATGTAGACGTAGTCTAATCGGTTGTCAAAATTCTTGTTGAAATCGTTAGTACCTTAGAAAGATACTTATGTGATTTGAACATGGTTTGTGCTTATCAGCAGATATTGTAGTGAATGAGAACTCGAGTGGGATAAACCAATTTATTGGTTCATTCAAAATGACACAGTGTTTTTCTAAAATATGAAGTAATTCTGATATCTATATTTGGGCTAAAGTCAATCTACTGACATAAGAGAGAACAAAACATTTTAGGTATGTTTTTTAAAAGTATTATTTTCTTTAAACAGCATTTACAGAATGTAGTGAATTGATTTGACTCTTTATAAGAAAATTCCAGCTTGTCATTGTCTGACATAATATGTAGTTTGTAAATGTGTAACGTCTACAATAGAAACTAATGATTAGTTTTTTTCTCGTTTCTATCAATTTATTAACCAAGTACACGTTTGTGTACTTGACTTAATAGGTTAGAGATGCTACCTAGGTGAAATGTTTGAATTGAAATAAATGGGGGAAGATTCAGATTTGGGTACAATTTGGTAAAACTGTGACTCTTTAACCACTTTTTCATCGCTCCACTATTTTTATACAAGTTATTTTCAACTTGGTATAAAATACTCTCTTTCTCTCTTGTAAAGTAATTAGACCAAAATTTAATTGTATCATTCATGAATAATTTGTAAACTTTTCATGGTAGATTAAGTAATCCTAATGATCGTAGTTTCTTTAATCTATGCAAATGATTCTTATGGATCCATCATATTGTTCCTGATGAAATTTTAAACTATAGTTCTTTGTCATTGAAAAACAATTGATACATGATTTATTATTTCTAAAACTTAGCACATGTTTCAATGGTATGTGTTATGCAGCATAAAAAACATAATTTAGATTGTAGTTTTCATTTGCTATTTACTTATAATAATGTAACTGGAATTTGGTATTCACTAATTTTATTTTAATTTAGTTTCTCATTTACGTCAAAACAGCGAATGTATTATCTTTTCGTTTAACCTACCAGCGTGTATGACTAAGCATATGCTTACTTTTGTAATTAGCTAATTAAAAATATTTTTTTACCATGGAAAAATGGATTTGAGTCTTGTGCTATATTGGTTGATCTACAAGAAATTAATATAATTTAACTCGTTATGGTTTGAGTTATCTAATTGTCGGTATTATTGGTTGGATTTGGATCGTTTTTAGTTGAAAAACCTGCCTCTTATTTCGATTGCCTTGATATAGTCATTTCGTCACATGGTGGAAAAGATTTATAACCTTAAACCTGTCATTATTTACTTCTTTATTTTGGCTGTATTTCCCATTGGTTTGATTTTTGATCCTATGTTTGCACATAATTTTTCCGATTGGTTGATAGATTGGGTCGATTTCAATGTGCAATAAACACATAAACAAACATAGGACCAAAAATCAAACCAATGGGATATACAACCAAGATAAAAAAGTAAATAATGACAGGTCAACAAGAACCAATCAACATTAAGGTTTACAGGATAATGTGGGAGCTATATGTGGAGGAATTCGTACACTTCACTTCTGCCTGAAATTTGTGCTGCTGATGTCGTTCAGAGGAGCAATGAAAAATCCACGACCAAACCATCCAGCCCAGAGAACAAAACTTTATCAAAAATCTCATCACATGTTCTACAGAATAGATAGATTGTGGCTAGCAGTGAAATCCAGGACACCCATTTCGTTCCTGAATGAATGTAGATCCAGCCGATGGGTCTCAAAGAGGACGAAACGCGTATCCTATAATTCACTGTCAGCCACAATCTGTCTATTCTTTAAACTTATCTAATATTTTTGTGGATTTATGGAATATGTAGCATGTGACAAAAATATCTTTCCTATATGCTGGATGTATCTGATGCAACCACCATTTGAGTAATACTGAGCATAGGCGCACACTCCTAATTAGAAATACAATGTAATTAATAGAGCTGTAAACATTAATCGACTGAAGTTATTAGAACATGTATTATGCCTACATAGTTATTAACTATTCCACTATGCGATATACTTGTTAGTATAGGAGTGCATTGTAAGAAAGTGATGAACTACTTAACCAAGATCTACAAAGTCACCAAATGCTAGTTTAATTTGTAATGAAATGTGTAGATTTCCTAGTTTTCAACATACTTTAGTAATCATCTATGGTTAAAACGTATTTTTATTGTTGATTGGAAACAGCTGCATTCATTCCATCTTTTTGTAAGCCTTCAGTTTTAATGTTATTCCATACTTCTTACTCATTGATTTCACCTGTCGTTTTCATTCTATAATCTGTATGTTTAATTTTGCTATCACTCATTTTACTGTTTTCATATTGTACTGATGTAAGTTATGTTAGCCTGTGGTGGAACGCATCCATCCCACATCGTAAGTTGTCTATAAAGAATGACCCTCTTGAATAATCATATTATCAGATTCAAGGTTGCGAATTATTATAAAGGGCGGCCTGCTTGAGCATCTGAGCTACCTGTTCCTGCCGTTTAGATATTTCAACAAGTTATCTATTTTTGTTTGTTTTAATATATCATTATGTTTATTAATCGCATAACCTATTCTGCTGCGTTCCTGGAAAGTGTGCAACCTTTTGTTGTCAAAGTTGTAAAAAACTCAATAAGAGACAATGTGGTTGCTGGCAATATACAACGGAAAGAATGCACATTATTCAGATGTTCATTTACTAAACTGCAAACATCTAACTGGCGACCACTCGATGTTTATCGCCACGACCGACCAAGAAGAAAGAAACGGAAACTTGTTGAAATACTTTACGCTGAGAGTTCCATATTATATATATATATATATATATATATATATATATATATATATATAATATTGAATAAAGCTGATAATAATAGTAATTCTGCTTTGATAGGTTTACACTATTATATAAAAAAATGTTTATTATTTATTTGTTATGCCATTTTCGCTGCTCTCTTTTCCAGCCGTATCCATGGTTACTGCTTGTGAAACCTGTTGTTGAACCTGATCTTCACGGAAGAATTATTCGCTGGGAAGTTGCTTATTTTTGGCTTTGTTGGTTAGAAAGAAACGTGTTCTTGCCTGTTATTACTATGTGTATGGTCACTCAATCTTTTGATTCAGTGGCAGTGAAGTTTGGACCGTTGTAAGTATTATAATTATATATATATATATATATATATATAATATAATATAATATAATATAATATAATATTTTCTTTTACATAATTGTATCAGTAAGAGTGTCTTACTTTTTATTGTTTGTTTCGCTATATCGTGATAACCCACCGAAACTATATCAGTTAGGACATTCTTACTCTAGTGGTGTTCAATGTTATCAAGACGTTTCTCTCACCAATCTTCGTTCGGAAACTAAACATAGCTTTTTACACAGTTTCATTTTTTTTTGACTAGCAAATGCTTCTACGGCTAACTACCTGCCAATCTTCTAATTCCAGGCGTTGGCAATCCCTTCATTTAGTTACTTTTCTACTTTAGTCCTTTTTTTCTTTCCGAAATTTGATTGCTTTGAAGGACCACCTGATCAGAATTGATCTTGGCTTTATCACAATATGAATCAGTATTTTGTTTGTATCTTGTTATTACTCAAAAGAGCATTCACTGCACTAAGAAACTTCAGTCTAATGCTTGGTCCACTGACTTAATGAAACAGAGAAGTGACTACTGGACTATTTGGACTAAAAGTTGTTCCATAGATCGATGATTGAAGTCAACAATGAAACAATTTTTACGAATTAACAAATGAAAAGTGAAGTGCTTCAAAATTTTAATGATATTATTAGTTAGGTTTAACCGTCCGAATTCAGTGCGGTTTTCCTACACTAGTTCAGTGATGACCGAGTACCTTAAGGGTAATGTCTCAGATTTTGAAGTTAGGTTCAAATGCCATAGAGATCATGTGACCCCTCAATAATGCGGCTACGCTGTAGTGACGTATGTCACCCAGATCTAGGCTTTTTTGCCAACTACTTCCGATTGTGGTGCGTGCTACCTATATTGATATAAGTAGTATATAACGTGAGTCAAAAGAACGTAATGGCTGGCAGCAGAAGATGGAGAAGATCAAGAAAAGAAGAGCGAGAAAACAATGGAATTTGTAAGAAATCGCATGAGCAATGAAATGCGAGACAATGGATTGATGTTTGCAACAGCAACAGCCCGGTTTGATATGATATAATGATATTTTGCAAATTAACGATTTACTATATGGTTTTTCTATTTTACCAAGTAATTCTGTAATTTGTCCTAAATACAATTCAGCTGTCCTCACCCGTGTTCTTCTTCACTACACCGATCACCTCACATGTCATTAGGTTACTGTTTTGTTTGCAATAAAGCAGTATCACTCATTTATAAATTATAATGGCTTGTTTACTTTAACCTCATTCGATCTACAAATTTAACATTTGGATAATATCATTCGTCTTTATTGAGATGTGTGGCTTGGAGTTGAGTGGACAAATAAGTGTTAAACTTCTGAGTTTTTGGGTCTTTTTAATTGTACAATCTTAATTTATTCTTTTTTTTTCAGACTATCCACATTCATAATTATTGTATGTAGTATGAAAATGTTACGAAATGGTTTTTGTTGTGCAAAACAAACTTACCTAAGTTTGTTTTTCACGAATTTATTATTTTCATTTGATTTCTACAATTTTAAAGAAGCATTCCCTATTAATTATTTCTTTGTATCACTTCTTGTTAGCAAGGTGAGTTGAATATTTTTTCTTCTACTATTGTATGTATAATTCTCATTTGCTTTTCATGTCTTTATAACACTAATAATTACAGCTGTAATATAATAGAAAACAGTATTTTATCTTGTTCTGATATTTATTTAATGTTTAGGTCGATAAAATACCGAAAATTCGTTCTGTAAATAAATTCATTCATCATGCTAACCTCTCAGTAGCAAACATTGCACATCGTGGTAGGTGATGGTTAAGGGTACGTAATAGAAATCCTGGTCACCTCAGGCACTAAAAATTCACTATCTCACCTACCGATTTGCCATTTGCACCATTTTTTTAATATCAACAGGTATTACAGTTCAGTAGAAGAAGTTTCTTTAGTATATTTGTGTTTCTATGGATTGGCCAACCAGTCCATCAAATCACTAACAGATATATTTAGCCATACTAATAGGTATATATTACATGGTTAGGGTTCACGCGATTATCGTAACCAGCTGTTTGCAATGGCATAAGTGCGTCCATTCTTTGTCTTCCCGCAAATTCTGAGATTCCAAATTTCTCATGACACTTTTTTGTTTTTATTTCACTAATTTATATTTTCTTTTCGAGTCGTATCTTTGGTCCCTAATCTTTCCCATTACCACTGATACTGTTACTACCTCTACTATTCGGGAATTCGGTCCGACAATCTCATCTTTGTGCTAATGGGGTTGGGATATAACAAATAGAACCGATGTGTCTACATTGCAACTGACTGTGTGGTGTTTGTGTTGGTTTCTTTTCTTTTTAATCAACTGAAGTAAACGAAAGTGTTGGAGAACGTCTTCGAGACATATGCCCCACATAAATTGATTTTGTTACTTTGTAGACTGGTGAATGATTTACACAGTATGTGTTCATTGAATTCGGTCTGTAGTCTTTATCTCATTATAGGGAATGTTTTCAAACAGTAAGTAATTTAAGGATGTGAAATATTTAGGTTTATTTATTTGCCGTTTTCATTGTATATGATTCCCCTTTCATCTTATAGAGTATAAGTGTGCACACATAACTTTATTTTATTTACAGCGTAGTTACGGATAAAGTTTCAAATATTTCATGTATCTCATAAAAGTTATCACTTATCCTTCATTGCTCATACTACCTCATTGTATTTTTGGTCGTAATGGGATTATTTGACCAAAGACGTCACTCGTTTTTCTTCAGGGTTTTGTAATTTACTGTTGTTGATGTTTAGGACGGTAATTGAACAGTCTGTTTCCACGTGTGCATTTTGAGTGGTTTGCTTCGGTACAGGATAATGTCGTAAGTCTTTATATATTTGGCATTCGAATCCAGTACGTGTGTTTTATCCTACTTTAAACTCGTCAGCCATTTACTTTCACACTTATTAAACAGGTTATTGATTACTTGGATGCAGAAGTCCTTTATATGATGTGTTGGAATTTTAAAGCGAAAAGTACTAGGTTGAACTTTTGGTGTTAACGCAAATAATGTGGTGCAGATGTATCCAGCCGACGAACCCTAATTTGAATAGAACCCGCATCCTGAATACCGTTGATAAACATCTACCAAATATGTTCGAAACTTATTTTCTTTCTAACCTTTCTGTTTGTTTCTAGTATCCTTACTAAATGTTCTGTTGCTTGTTTCTCATTGAGTTTTTTGAACAACCCTTATTTCGAGCAGGGTTAGATAGTGAATAGCAACGGAATCCAGAACTTAGGTTTCATCCTATTGTAGACTATTCAGCTGGACTTAACTTAATCCCAATGTTGATGTTCACACCGGGACTCGAAGACAGTACCTTACGCTTGACATCTTATCCACTTAGCTACTGATTTCAGATAGCTGTTTGCTTGTTCACTGATAGTGAATTTTGATTTATTTATAGAGGATGATACAAACTTTTTGTCTTCAACGTTCAGAATTGTAATTGATCAGTCCGTTGTTGGGATATGTCCATCCAATTTGAATGAACTAAATATTCATTAAGTTACAGAGATTTCAAGGCGAGCCGTACTGATATATAAAAAGAGTTATATTGCTATGTTGCATAATGAAATGTGTTTATAATAATCTAACCAATCGAATATTTTCTCCTTTATTTTCTTCCTTAGTTTATTGAATTATTCCGAAAATTGCATTTCATCTATGTGTATTTAGCTCCATTCAATATTATTTGGGGTTCTGTTGCACATGCAGTTGTACAACTTGGTTCAATTCCTCGTATCCTTTCTTTGAAAAAAAAACAATCAAATATCGCTATGTTTCATCCAACATTATAAGGTTTAATATGTAATTAGTGTAAGAAAATCACTACTTTTTCCTAAATTCAAATCATACAGCTCTTGAGATTGAAACTCAGTAATTAAGTCTAGAATCGCATATTTATTACGTGTTTTTCCTAGGCTAAATCTCTCTTTGACTTGAGGGTTATTAAGACTATCTGGTCAGTAAGTCAATCAATTTTAAAAATAAATTGATATTGAATGTATATACACCATTTTAGGTTGGAATAATTCACACTTACATAAAAGGCGAAGATTAATATGCTGTAAAAATTCAGGCGAAAAATATTCTACCAATGTTAGCGAGAAGGGAAACTTCTTTTTTTTTTAAAAAAAGAAAGTATATTTTGTTGTATATGCTACTTATGCTGACAGGTATAAGTAATATGTACCACCAATCGGACGTAGAATACCTTTCAACAGAAGCTTAAATGGAAGAAAACAGGAAGTAGTTCGAAGAACAATCAAAATAATAGTAGAATTAGAGGAACGTAAAGGACAACGCAAATGATTTATTTAATATATGATTTTCATATTTTACCAAGCCACGGTTTTTTCTGTGTGAAACAATAAATTAATTCTTCCCATCTGAGTCTTACCTCTCTGCACTTGGGGTGGGGTAGTGTGTAGTAGTAGGATTCACGACACAAGTAGTTCCGTTCTACTTGGGGCTCTGTTTAACTTCATTTGGATCTTAGTATTACTGATTAATAATCAGTCTTAACATTAACAAAAATCTAAACTATTACAAGAAAAAAGCCAAAACAAAGGTATTTCAAATATATTGCATCAAATTCAGAAATGTCAACGTGTAGAATAATATCAAAATTCAATACTTTGAAAACTGATAAAGCAGTGGATACATCTACATTTCTGTCATTGATTTCGGACGAAATCAGCTGAACTCAGTTTCATTTGTTTACGTTTTTTATTTCTTTCAGAGTACTGAAACGACTGCCTTTGTTCTTTATATATATATATATATATATATATATATATATATCAATTTCTCTCCATCTATGATCCTTGACGTGATTCATTTTAATGCTTTAATACAATTAATTTCTAGACTCTGTATTCCTATTCGCCAATTGCATTTTTTCTACAATTTTATCAGCACCATTGGAACCTTTTATGGCTAGTGCAATTTTTATTACATCTTATGTAAGACCGATTAGTTTTTGGGAGACTAATCATCGGTATGTTGTTTATAGATTTTTATAGTTTAAAATATAATTTTAAATACTAAGTAGATTGCTTGTAGAATACATCTTTCATAGTATTTAAAAATTGTGTTATTTTTTACAGTATACTGTTATATGTTTTATCTAATCCTATATTTTCACAGTTGGATTCACGAGTCGATCTAAGCTAGACCACCATGGAAAACGTGAAAGCTAGGATGAATCAGTCGTCCAATACTTCCAGGTTCTCATCGGTGTTCCAGCTTAGATCGACTCGTGAATCCAACTGTGGAAATACTACAGTCTCCACAAATTTCCATACTGTGATAACCCATATTGCCAAATACACATTTTCGTATTGATTTTTAATCCACATAGTTTGTTTAATGACTAGTTACGTTATTCACCTACTTGCAACGTATTAAATGATGCGGAGTAACGACTAGCAATATGGTTAACAGCTGAGTGCATTAAACATTAAGCCACCATTTTGCATAATATAATGTGTACATATATAATACACTGTGAATCTTTTATAATTTAAAATATTTAGGACGATAGATTTGTCTACACTTTATACAATACGGGTTAGATCAATTTAATGTGTACAATTAATTTGATTGTTTTACATCTATTTCAATTAAAAAGTTAATTTTGTGGCCATTATGATAATTACTTATTCCATATGATTCACTTATTCTGCAGCATATACAAATGAAAGTTTTGTCAATTTAAATTTTATGACCTCGAGATTCTACTGGTACAAATAAAAACCTGGCTGTAAACATACTGGGTGTTTAATTGATACTCATACTATACACACTGTATCTTCTACAAGTATATCATTTATTCATATAGCATGTAATTTGGACAACATTAGCAACTTGAAATATTACTTCTCACATTGATATATAATCGGTATAACATATTTGGTTGTTTTATCTATAAAGCACTAACAGTAAATCCACAGACTTCCTAAATGTATTATAATCAGAAATGGATGATGGCTAGTGTTACAATCCAACTAGATGTACTTGCATGCCCATCGAGGCCATCTGCACATGTTGCATGTCTACCAATAAGCGACTGATTAATTGCAGCTTTACACATCAATGAGAAGACTCAAACAACCAATACAAAAAATTTCTAAATGTAGTTGTCACATCGTTGCTAGACTATGCAGAAATTCTTATCACCGAATAGTACATCACAAAGATTGACGTATTGTTACAGGTATTTCATATGATCATATGTCTACAATACAATACTGCAACTCATCACAATTTATACATGTCAATCAGTACATAAGGAGGTGATTTGAAACACTTATCTGACTAACAGATACTTATTATTTATTTATTTATTTGAACACAAAGATATTGGTACAAGGTGGCACCAAATATGTATACGCCACTCAAATTTCATTTGATTTGTTTGAGGGCTGTGATACTGTCCGGGTGCCCAAACCGAAGCAGGTGGTTTTCTTAGGAGGCCACACCCAGAGCCTTTCAACCTGAAAGTCTGATCCATATGGCAGTGGAACAACGTCAGGAGACGCAGTCACATGATACCCGGTTACCAATAATCAGTTCATACGCCATTTGTTCCTTCAGGGTACTGGAGCACATGTGCACCACTGGTTTGTAATCAGGGTTTTCCAACTCCCCCAGTTGGATCCACGATATCCACCAACCCGGTTAAGGCGCCGGACATTCGCTTTTCGTCCTCTCAATTTCGTAAACAACAATAATTCCGTGAGAAGGCAGTGAGTAGAACTTCCCTAGCAGTTTGTATACGCGTGGTCATGTGAGAGCATTTCGAGAGGGTTAGCGGACTCTCCCCTTTCTCGGCCGTACCAGGGCATTTGGGGGCTACTAGCAGATAAAATTTTAATAATTGACATACTTTAGTTTATGAACTCTATAAAGGAACAAAGAACAGTTTATTGTTTATTAAAAAGTTGACTTATAAATATCAATGTATAAGAAATATTTCATAAAAATATACAAATAACTATCATTATCAAAACATATTCTGAATTTTTTGAAGATAAATATATAAATACTACTTTTATTAAGTTATAGTAACAATGTGATATCTATTTCATTTAATTCATAAATTCTATGGGTACATAGTACTTAAATACTCCGTTTGTGAATAACTTTTCGGTTGATAACATTTTGTAGGTAATGTAGATGGAAGAAAATTTTATTTTGCCGTTTTGTATTGTTGTTTAAAACTTTGTCTTTAATAATTAAATATGATGAGAATTATCATGATGCCATAGTAACTGCATAGAAATTATCAATGATCCTTACATATATAAGGGTAAATCTGTTTGTAGAAGTCTATCTGTTCTTTTGGTCATGTCATTCAAGTATGCAATTTTCTAATTTTATCTCATTGTTATTTTGTATGCAGTTTCTATGGTAGAATCCAGTTTTTTTCGCTTCTTTTTCGTTTATTTTTTTCGGTTTTCTGTCTCCCTCTTCAATTTGACGACAGAGTACAAAAGTTAAATAACTAAGTTATTTCATTTTATTTGAATAAATGCTAAGACAAAATTATTTTCTTAGTTCAGTAAAAGCTATCAATTCCGTAGTTTTGGTTGTATTTCCACTTAATTATTTTGTTAATATGCCTTTTTACATATATCAAGTAATTGTATTTATCATATAATTGAAGATGATTAGCAGTAAACCCCTAAAACTAAGTGTTGTACCGATTGAAGTGAAAAGTTCTGGGTACGCGTCTGAATGCAAACGCCAAAACTCAGATACAAGTGCATTTGTCCGAGGATTTCCAACCAGGACGAAATCTACATGATTGTTTTAACTGCTAATCTTTATCCACTTTTACTGATTGTTGTGATTCGATAACGATGTAAAGACGATCCGCTCAATACGCAAATATTGGTAAGAAAAGACTGTTTAACATCGGCAGTTAAAAGTAAAAACATGCATAAATCCAGATGCTTGTAATTTACAAACAATAGTTATCATCAGGTGTCATACAAGTTCACGTTTATTTTATGTTTGAATTTCTATTTTATAAAGGACTCAACGAATAGAAACAACTAATATGCCTATAGCAGCTCAATTGAAAGGAATTTCCAAACATCAGGTATCTGGTAATCTAGATGGCATATTTTATGAACATTTAACAAGGAAATTACAACGAACATTAGCCGGTGATTTACAACTTGGACGTATTGGCGGGTTAACCGTTCAACATGGTGATGTATTCATTTTATCAACTGATGATTTAAACCTGTTGATTCATATTATTGAAGTAGGCAACGGATTCGTTACCTATCAACTTCGTGGTCTTGAATTTATCGGTAATGGTTTGATAATGAAGGTTTTTTAAAATCACATCAGTTTTTGTCTTGACAAATTGTATTTATTCAGGAAAGTAATCGTCAAAATATTAATTTTCAAAGTTTCGCATTATAAACAGGCTTTGACTAGAAAATCATTGGAAATTAGGAAGTGCTGAACAGCTGCTGTGATACCGTATGCCGCCTTTCGGCAGTAATCACTCATGACCCCATTAGCAATCGAATCAAGTACTTCCAGGCCTCTCATGCAAACTCTCCACCCCTGGGTTACTGTAAAAGTGATGAATAGCTTTTATAGGAAGTCATTTTATTAACAGAAAAGGGTAATAATCTAAGATTTGCAGTACAGTGAGAGTTCGCTGCACGGTAATGTTGAGGATGTTAGATCTTCAGAAAACCAATTTACATACTGAATATTTTGTTGTTTTTATTTTGTAAATTTGGATTTTTTTTATTTTACTCTACACATCTCTCCATAAAGGCTATTCTCTATTTTACTTATCTTGTCTAAAAACCCTAGATTCTTATCAGTCCGCGTGGCAAACTTTTTTCTTTATTTCTAAGATTATTTTATTTGTATCTATACTTGTGTGTTGTTTACCTAAATGAATCTTCTTTGATCTTTACTAAATATATCTTTCTTACAAGATTTATGTCCTAAAGTTAGGACTGAAAAGGGAATCATGACATCTCAATATCAGAACCTTTTAGTTCTGAAGTTATCAGATAATGAAGTCATTTAGTCATGATCACTGTAAAATTTATTTCAGATGCATCTCAGTCGACTTTTTTTCACAAATCACACCAAGTTAGCAAGGCTAACAATATGATTAGGTAAAGTAGACAATGAAATTCTAAGGAAAGCTAGTTTTAGGAAGTATACTGCAAAAATGTGATGTGAAATCTTTAGAAATTAATCTGAAAATACAAATAATAATTTTAAGATTATTTTATCTTGGTGACTATCAGTGTAATTTCGTTTGTATTAACTAATTTATTGAGATTATTCATTCAATTGATGTATGTTCATGTTATATCTCGGCGAGGATTATGAATGGGAACTCTTGAGAACTGTTTATGGATAAATATTATACGTATATTCTTAATGTATAACTACTTAGTAGCTAGATTATGTATATCTATACTCCTCTTATTACAGGCTTTTCTTTGACCTATAAACTATTATTATACGATTTATAGTTCTTGAGTTATACCCAGTCTATTAATTGCAGTCTCCCACATTCATAGCCACTTTTGGCTAGTTTTTGTACAAATGTTATTTTCCATTTCATGGTACGATGTTGTCTGTTTCGAATTTATATAAACCTAATATGTTTGGAATACATGATTCATATCGCAGAGATTGAGATTGGTGTTCTGGACTCTGCAAGCAGCGCTTGACAAGAGGAAGGACCGATAAGGACTCTATATTGCCCGTACGGGTTTATGCGTCATTGTTCCGGTCGATAAGCCACTGTTTCCTAATTGGCGATATCATTAGGTTATACATCAATAGGGCACAAGGCCACAAGTTATAACAGTTCAGTTTGATAAGTCCATTAGCTACTAAACATTGAGTTCAATCAATATGTAATTGAATCTATTATATTATGAATTAATCTTATTAGGTTCCACTCATGAAACCATTCTTCTTTAATTATTTTATATTTGTAAGTATCGAAAATTATGACAGAAAGTTGTTGTACCCTGTTATGCAAGTGTAGTTATCGCTATATTGAAGTTTCTTATTAATTATTACGTATCAACAAGGTATGTGTAGAGTTTTGATGAAATTATTTTTCTTCATTCTTGTATAGTGTTCATTTCAATAATGATCAATTGTAAAACTAAGATAAACAAATTAGCTATTTAATAACAAATCATTTTTGTCATTCACTTCTCGATGTTCAAGTCTGAATACCTAAACATTTACATCCGATAGTATTATTTAATTATCACAGAATGAAATAGGAGAGTTACACCGGGGAGCTAAATAATATTTAAGTCATTTAGTGCAATCTAATATTTCATGAATCATGTTCAAAATTCTTTATTAGAATTACTATAAATTATCGTTTTTCGAATAGATATATTGGTTTGTCATTAGTTGGAATAGTTGATATTTTTCATTTGATGTTTAAGACTGGCTTTATCGGTTCCCAGTAGTATAAGAACTGTTTAAATAAACAAATATATACAAATATATTATTGATTTAAAACAATCTACCCAATGCTCAATTTATTCGAAATTATTAAGTCAAACCTTAGTAATGATACCTACTGTTTGAATAAACGTTTGGATTTATAAGTTAATTGCCCTTTTAATAGTAGTCAACTGTGGATAATATTTTGATGTTTGAAGTGATGAGTACTGGTTTCAAGTTTCAGTATGAAATTAAGTAGTCTCAAAAACAGGGAAAAATGCATATTCTGTTTTTCTCAATATGATATGTTTAATTTTTGAAAATCATATTTAATTGTGTTTTCTTCCATCCTCTCAAAATAATCTTGTTCAACCATGATTATTATTTTTATTCTTGGTAACTGTCAGGTACTTTGTGTCATGCTAGTGAATCAGAAGCATTACGTTCAGATCCGCATAAAAGTAAACGATTCTGTTGTTGTCATTCAAAAACTATTCATGGGATGTTAAGTTTTAACACTGCTGTTCGTTTACGTTGTATGACATGGCAATTTGCATATACACCATATATAGTTGAAGGTTATGAAGTTACTGATCACAGTGCTGGATTAACATTTCAATTGACAGACTTACGGAAAGTATTGATCAGTCGATTTGTTCATGTAAGTAATAATTCCATTTGTTTTTCTTTCATTATAGTATATCTTTTATCAGAGGTGATAGTTCAGTTCTTTTATCGCTTCATATTTCGATGACCTAATGTTTTACCCAGAATTCTGAAGTCAATCCTCCTTTTGATTTAGTTATCTTGCACTTATCGGTTTTGTTTCGCCGAAATGACAAAACTCGACAATATTGAGGTCTTGTTTTTTTTCACTTATAATCGACATCAAACACATTTAACTATGGATTTCAATCGGCTCTAGTCAATCGGCAAAAAGTTTTACGGATTAATTAATGTTGATAATTTATTACAATTGGGATTCGTATCGTTAAACATAAATGTCTATGACTGTAATCATGAAAAACCACTGTTATGCTTGCTTTTAGTATATTTATCAATCGGATGGTGCGTACAAAAATTATTAAATCGATATTTAAAAATTTATTCTTCAACTTTTAGTCAGTCATAAATAGTTTATCATTTTAATACAAATCCTTCCGATCTCCTGTTATGAACTGAGGTTATAAACTCTGTTAACGATAAACAAGCTTGCTCTTAGTGAGCCCGAGTGGGTGTGAAGAAAGCATTTATTGATCAACCGAATCGAGAAATATCTGTATACTCATATAAATATATATCCTTTAGAAATTCAAGCCACAGTTTTCCATCAATTGGGTATGTTTCATCCATTAGAAAAGGAAATCACATCTTGGTTAATCACAGGAGCCTATCATTTCATTTACGTCTGATTCGCCTACTGCATCATTAACCCCAATTATTCAGCATTAAAGCACAATGAATTTATTGTTGAGTCACTTAGGCTAGTGATTATTTTTCAATTTTGTATGTAGTGTTTGGTCATCACGAAACGAGTCAACAAAAATGACGTTGTTTATTATTGCGTGATCTGTTAGTGTATCGAGTTCTTTTTTTCGATAGAGATAAATTATTTTTTAATGAAAACACTTTTTACACGACTGATTATTATTAATATTATTACATAATCTAATAAGTTTAACATATACCTTTTATCTTGTATTTTTGCAGTGTATTATTTATTTTGTTTGTAAATTGCCGAATTTATCGAGTCGATTAACTCAACTAACACCATGTTTAGATTCCAATCGATTTTCATCACCAGATTACTTTGATTTGGATCCTGTATTTTTCAAAGCAATTGATGATGACTTTGATGAAGATGTTAGTGGTGTTACTAAACAACGTTTTATTCAAATTTATTCCGATTGGATAGCATATTGTTTAAAAAAACAAAGTGGAAATTCAGTAAGATTAGCTATTTATGTATACTATATCATTTTTTGGTCTTTGTGATATCTATCCATATGATGAGATTTTTTGTTTATTATTTGTCGTGTTCTGTTGTTCACTTTATTTGCCATACACTCTTCCTTGGTACACCAAACTCACTAGGGAAATGCATAAACTGAAATGACCAAAATACTTCAACTAGCGCACTGAACAAAAATATGTTTATGAATCATTAGTATCTATATGTATGTAGGCTTCAATGGCTTTCCTGATGAATGGTCAGGTTGCTTTATCTTTTCTGTGCTCGATTATACGTAACAGTTAAAATGTTTATCGCATATCGTCATGTCTTAACTGTTGTGGTAGATATATGTCATTTCATAGGGTATGTGGAAAGTCTCTTCTTTATCAAGTATGAAAATCAACAAACCGATGTTTAATTTTATCAACCATTCGAAATTGTATGGTTGACTCACAAGACACTCATGCAAAGTTCTTTCAAACTTGATATTTCCTTATGTTGACTGTAAACTTCCAATATATACTCAATTATTACTATTATTATGAATCTGATCTGACCTCTGTTATCACTTGTACCTTTTTCTGCAATATATTCGACTTGATCAAGGTTATTTTTGTTATCATTAGCCTATTTCTTTCCCTAATTCATTCACTAAATGTAGTAATTACACCAGTGTACAAAGTGAATTTTGTATAACTTAACAGACATATTCGGTTTTCTTCCTTTAACATTTAGAAATAAACTTCTAAATACAAGACAATGATAATTTCTTCTAGATTAGATTTTACTTTGTATTTTTCATTAAACATTAGATAATTTTATGTACTCACTAAAATGATTGGGTATTGTTTTCATTAAAAAAATATGTTTTCTTTTTTCAGTCTGTACCATGTGGTCCTGATTCACCTGTGGTGTCGTTATGTTTAGCTTTAAGCTTACTTGGTAGGCGATGTATGGGTGGTCAACAGTCATCAAAGCCTATGTAAGTATTATAATTACATTAGATTATTTATAGATTTATTTACCAGAAACGATGATACTATATCCAGCTGTGTAATTGTCTTGTTTTACCCTCTAGAAAAAACAAAGTGAAGGGCAACAGTATCGTATATGTTTACATTTTTTCGGATTGAAATGAATCTAACTTTTTTATTATTATTTACAATCATTACTATTACTACTCATTTTCTTTAGTTTGGATCAATTCTTGCATGGCGTGCACCAAGTGTTTGCAGGAGATATTAATTTAGTCCCAAGAGATGATTGGGTTCTTGTGGATCTTGATCTTCTTCAAACTGTTGTTACTCCTAGTGTTCGTATTGCATTGAAACTGTATCAAGTTAGTAATTTTGCGTGTTTATTGATCTTTTAGTTTTTCACTCTCTCTCTCTGTTTTGTTTAGTTCTTGTTATTGTTAATTTTATCGCTTTCATACCTAGTCATTTATCATAATGTTAGGCGTGACATTTAATTTGTTATGCTCACAATGAATATGATTTACAGTACTTACGTTATTTTTATCAAAATACTCTAAAATTATTTTCATTAACTTATAATCTGTCTATAAATTCGATTCTCTGACGTATTATCAATAAATACTTGATAATATTTTAATGATGAATATCTACGTGTTTCGACCTAGTTTCCAATTCCTTACCAGTGTTCATCCATTGTCGCATATGGGGTTCATCACCAGGTCCTTCAGATCTCATGCCTAAGACTGCATCTTTAGATTATTAAGAATGAATCCGCTTTTCAAACTCTCGATTTGTGATAACTGTTATCTTTCAATATAGTGAGTCACTTAACAACTTGGTGAACTGTTATCAAACTGTTACGTAATATTATTGAAATCACAAACCAACCTAAGTCAGATTACTGTTCAATATTTAAGCAATAAAAATTACCTTCAAAATATATGACTTTTTACACGTAACCATTTTTTAGTGGATTTTTTTAATCTTGATTTGTGTTCCTTACATTCTTCTATGATTTGATATTCTCACAGGACACATTTACATGGTCATCCGGTAATACACATAATGAATTATACAAGAAGATTGTTTATACAGAGAAAAATGTTGTAATTTGTCCAGAAACTGATCCAAAATGGCGATTTGCTGTTTTAAATGATGCTGATTGTTTATTCTCATTTCGTTGGGTATCTGGTCGTACATCGGTGGATGTTTATCGAATTGTTCAGTTAACTAAGAGAAGACTAGAATTTAGAGCTATCAAAGTTAGTTCATTTTTACCAATCGTAAAAAGGTCATCACTTGTATCTTGTCTCTTTACATCAGATTGACTTAAGTTGTTATTGCCATAGATAAAAGTTGCTTTTCGTATCAGCGAGTATGAATGACCCTTGAAGTTTTATTACCCCTCTTGAGCTTCATTAATTAAATGTTGCTATGGTATTCAAGTGCTTTGGTTTTTAATTTTGCCGTGTATTTGATTACATCAGCTATTCTTATGCTTTGTCCTGTTGTATACACAGAAATTGACTTCGATTACATCATTAAGTCGTAGAGAAGATTTTAATGTTGTTGAGTTGTCCATGGTAAATAGTTTAATTGTGGAGTTTTCATTCGCGTTCTTGACAACATCATCACTTACTTCATTTTAAAGTTATTTTCATAGTTATTCCACGAGCTTTGTCCTCTAAGGTTTCATGATTCAGTCAATTGGTTGATTAGTATATGGATTGTCTACACTAATGGCAGTGAGAAACGGCGCGAGCATCTAGTATTATGAGAAAATAAGTAGTAATGCGTTTGATCGAATGTACTGCTAAACTATAAAAAGTACTAGAAAAAGAAGTCACTATTGTTATTTGTATTTGGTCTTTCCATATCCTTTGTTTTCAGTTATATTTTTTATAATTTTTTTGTTGTTAATAATAGTTAAATCCTGAATGTGTTCGAGGTTTATGGGCTGGTCAACAACGTGAACAAATATTTTTACGTAATAATAATGAAGAACGTGGTAGTATACAAAGTGCTAATCCAGTCTTACGGAATTTAGTCAATTCTAGTTGCGATCCACCAATTGGTTATCCAATTTATGTTAGTCCTTTAATTACTAGTTTTGCTGGCGATAATGATGATTATATTAATGTATCTGGTGGAGAGTTATCTTTTGTTAATATTTTATTACGTATACGTGATTGTTGGAGACGTTTTCGTCAATTATGTGGTTGTAAAAAAGAAAAATGTGATGGTATGTGGTAGCAACTATGATTTTTTTGTTGAAATATTTATCCATTCTTATTGATATCTTGATAGATATATTTAGAATAATCTGAAAATGGTTATACTTAAAGTCAACTTACATTCTTTTTAATATCAGTGTGTGTGTATTATTATCAATTATATGTATCACTTTAGAGTTTCGTGTACAATTTTGATACATTTTCTAAAACGTGCATTTATTTGCATATTGCGTCATACCACATGGATTGCACATATGACATCAAAGAATGAGAAGAATTCAGTGAGTACTCGTGTTGTGAACAAAAACATGGTGAGGAAGGTCAGTTTATTGTTTTATACAAAACTACGCAGTCTATTCGTAAAATATAAAAATCATACATTAAATACATCATTTACAAATCTTCTTTCACTTGTCCTTCACATACTTCATCATTCTTCCGATCTTGTTTTTATTCCGAATGCTCTGTTTTTCCCTTCCTCTTCTCTTTGTTTCACTCTTCTCCTTGTAGGCTTTTCTACTTCCAATTCCTGCTACTTACTACTTCTTTCTATCCACATGAACAGTGCACACCACAGTTGCATAGCTAGGTGACTATCTGAACTCAGTAACTACGATGAACAGCACGTTAAGCGTTTGAAGTGAAAGGTAATTAGTTCAACTTGCAGTGTGTAATTCAACACTTAGATGCAGCTGATTGATTCCAGATAGGATGAAATGTATATTTTGAATTTTACTGCTAACTACAGTGTACCTATTCTGTATAAAATGTATAGTTATTTTATTTTACTCAAAACATATCAACTTATAAATGGAAACGACTCATTAATGATCACAATTAATTTATTTAATACCATATACTTGTTTACAACAAATAATTTTCTGATTAAAAATTTGCTATATTCCAATGTCTCATAGCCATTCCACTTGTAAATATTGGGAAACTGTCTGTTAAAATATTTTTACCAGTGGTTTGTTTCTAATCCTTTTTCTCCACGAATATTTTTTGTTTATTTGATATCTTTCTCATCTTATTTATTTATAATCACCTCTAAAAATGCGGATAAGACGAGAAGATATCATTTATTCTATTCGTCCTATCTGAATATCACAATAATCAACTCTACATTAAGTTGTACTATTTTATTGTAAGTATGAAGACATTTGGTTACGATGTATAAATTATTCAATGGAAATAAATCGAATATAGGAACATTTATTGTATTATTTGCCCCCAAATGCTCTGGTACGGCCGAGAGTGAGGAGAGTCCGACCTACCTCTCAAAATACTCTCACATGACCACGCGTATATAGACTCTGCTAGGGAAGTCCTTTTTACTGCCTTCTCGCGCCAGGGGTGATGTTTACGAAATTGGGAGGACGAAAAGGGAATGTCCGGCGCCTTAACCGGGTTGATGGATATCGTGGATCCAACTAGGGGAGTTGGAAAACCCTGATTACAAACCAATGATGCACATGGGCTCAAGTATCATAAAGGAACAAATGGCGTATGAACCGATTATTGTTAACCGGTTATCATGGGACTGCATCTCCTGACGTTGCTCCACTGCCATATGGATCAGAACTTTAGGTTGAAAGACTCTGGGTGTGGCCTCCTAAGAAAACCACCTGCTTCGGTTTGGGCACACGGACAGTATCACAGCCCTCACACAAATCAAATGAAATTTGAGTAGCGTATATATATTTGGTGCCACCTTATAGCAATATCTTTGTGTTCAAATAAATAAATTGTATTATTTACAATAGTTGAAAAATATGTAGGTCAGAAGTTGTTTTTTTTCCAACAGACTGTCAGATTAAATTAGTTTTAGTGAAAATCATTTCATTTCAAAATCTTTTATAAACTGGAAATAGTTTAGGAAATATTTATAAGTTAACTTTAACTCATATTATATAAAATTAATTGGCTTACAATATTGAAACCCTTTGGTTTATAGTCGTTTTTTTGAATTGTGAAAATTATTTTTCAATATTCTTTCAAACGTATTCAACTTATTGAGGTTATATTTTAATGAGTTAATTGATGAATTTATTATTTCTGATACTTTATATCTATTAGTGAATACTTACATTTAAACGGGCATACTTGCTAACGTTATTATTCTAGACTCAGATGTCTGGTTTAAGTGCACTTGTGTCTATATTGAACATTTTATTCATTTAAACACATAAACATTGGTACAAAGAGGCACTAAATACATATGCGCCACAGTTCGTCATTCAACTTGTGTAAGGGATGGAATACTGACCGGGAGCCGAAACCGAAGCAGATAATTTTCTTAGAAGGCCACTCCTCAAACCTTTAACCTAGAAGTCTAGTTCATAAGGCAGTAGAGCAACTTCGGGAGATTCAACCCCATCGTAACCGGTGACCAAAAACAGGTTCATACAGCATTTGTTCCTTCAGGATATTGGAGCCCATGTGTGCCATTGGTTTGAGATTAGGGTTTTTTAACTCCCTAGTTGGATCCACTTTATCCACTAACCCGGTTAAAGTACCAGACATTCGCTTTTCTTCCTCTCAATTTCGTAAACAACAGTAATGCCATGAGAAGGTAGTGAGTAGGACTTCCCTGGCAGTGGAAAATTTTCTTTGATTTTTTGGTAACATCGTATTTTCTTCCGTTCTCTTGTTAGTTTAATAATTCAATACCCTAAATAGTTGTTAATTAGCTCATAACACAAGTTCATGAAATCATTGACAGTTGAATTGAGCCATGTTGATAGATTCAAGCTACTTTATTAAAGTTCTTGAATTTTTCATAAATAATACTTGGAGATACTAGTCTCAAAGTTGGTCATAGTGGTTCAAATGTATTTATTCCTTGTCATCCATAAGATCTTGAGTTTCACAATCATATTATACGTTTTATTATGCAAATTCATCCTTTCTAGAATCACACTGTTTATGTCTAGTCTTTTCTAACACTTAAAACAATATTTCTTTCACTACTCTGTAATCTGTCTTGATAATTCCCTTTTACTGTGATAATGTTATATTGTAGCTTGAACTGATGTGTATATATGTCAAGTTCTATGTTGAATATATTTAACTATGAACTCATTGACTCCAATCCCAATACGCGGAAATCATAAGTGTTTCTTTTTTAAAATCCCTCAATCTGATAGAAAGCTGCTGATATAATTTAGTTGTTATTGACGAATTTACGAGATAATTGTGAAAGTTTCGATATATATATCAATAGAAACAACTCCTAGTTCTTCTAGATTTTCGACTGAGTGAACATTGATATCTGTGATTTATTTTTATAGTGACATTAGTAATTATAATGCCAATACTTGGTGTTTCTCATATATCATTTATGACTCGTCATTTGTTTACATCGAACTTTTGAGTAGCAGAACAAAATTGAAACAGTCAACGCAAAATAAGATAAACATACAAGCACTTAAATGAGAATACATATTTTCATTCAGAATATTTAGTCTATATGTTGTGTTGTTTTCTCATTTTAAAATTGAGTTGATATGTTAAACGTTCAAATCTCAATCATATTCGCTAGAAAAATTCTAACCGAATACATTTCAGATTACAGTTGTAGAAATAGACAATAGATAGGAGAAATGTTTATTTATTGCGAGAAGTTAAAAAGTATTTGCATAACGCATATACTTATCGTTCATTCGCACCTTTTCGTGTGCTCTGCAATCTGAACTGTCTTCTGTTTTAGTCTCCAAGTGTTCTGCCATCGCCACACTTTTGATGCACTGAAACGTTTCACTCTGTCCAACAATTAATGCAACCTCGATGTCATTTTTCGCCAAACACTATTTACAAACAATCTTATCAGTAGCGTCTACTACACAGTCATCTGAATTGAAGTTTTAACGTAATTTCCAGTTTATGTCTTCCGCAATCATTGGTGTAAATGAATAGTTTGTTTTTTTATCTCTAAATTTTTATTTTTCAGGTCAAATTGATTCTGCAATTAATCCATCATTGTTTACACGCAGTAATACAAGCCAACAGTTAAAAACTAATGTGCCAAGTACCACTTCTAATAAATCAAATGCTCAATTGACATTGTCTACTCATCCATCAACTAGCAATGATAATGATAATCTTGGTAAATGGTCTTCTAAACAACTAGACTGTAATCAGGAAACAACTTTGATTGCATTAATTCACCAACAAAATGATTTAGATAATATAGCTGGAGGTATTTTGTCTACTTCGACAAATAGATTTCGTGAAAATCATCATTTTGATCATATTTGTTATTCTATTGAACAATTGTATAAAAATAGTCAACAAGTTATAGTATGTTTATTTTTGGTACTTTTTCTCACTCCCTCTCTTCCTCATAATTGTTTATTATTGATTGTAAAATTCTATTTTCCATGATTTTATTTAATAAAAAAATAGTAGTCTTCAGTAAAATAGAATAGTGTTGAATAATTAAAATAATCTGAAGTGGTATCGTATCACTCAGTATTACTCTGCCCAACTATCTAAATGATGGCAAAAGTCAGTTAAAAACTTCACTAGAACCCTCGTCCAAAATAATTTACACAATCAGAAGAACCAGCTTGAGAGTAATGAATTCGATAAAATTTATGTACAGTAGAGGCTATAGTCATTTATCAATTCAAACTTAACTTCTATGTTCAAAAGCAGTATATTCAATCTCTCATTCTTTCATGGTCTTAATCTCCATATCTATTTTCCATAATCTAGTATTTTATTCTCTACTTCTTTTTAACTATTTTTCACAACTAGTAATTAGTCATTATTCCACATTTTAATTATTTTATTCTGAATTTCAATCAAGTGGACAGTTAGTTATCTTCGTCTGAAGATTTTCCATTAACCGATCACTGTATAACCATGTTTCAATATCTGATTTTCGTGAACGATTCATAACACTATCACTTCAGGTATTTTGAATTATTCAATACCATTCTATTTAAATATGGACCATTTTTGGTAATAAGTTAATTATAAACA